TTGCGCTATGCGTTAAAACGCTGATATTTCGAAAACGGTAAAAGATAGAACATCGGTTAAAACGTCGTTGTAATTCTAAAAATGTGGACTACAATAATGGTTATTGAGTCCGAGGTCGTATCTCTATAAATAAACAAGTTATTGTATAAAATATGTAAAAATTGACTTTTCGAGTAGTTTTTTTACCGAAAGTAGAATTAATTTGTGAGTGTCGCAAAGAAGTAATATCAAATATCTTTGCTAACAGTTGTAATATGGACTGTGGTGATACAAAATACGCATGTCGCCTACTTTTCAGGTGGTCGAGAACTTTGGGGGAGGGGGGCAAAGATGGCGGAACGCGCTATGCATTGAAACGACTGTAGCTCGATAACGGCATGAGATGGGACATCGGTTAAAACGTAGTTTTAATCCAAAAATTATGGCCAATAGAAAAGGTTATTGGGTAAAAAGTTGTATCTTAACTAATAAAAAAGTTATAACAATAATAAGTTTAACAAAATCTACATTATACAGCTATTTTCTTCAAAAATCATATGGATTGTTCATAAAAAATAGTGTAATTACTTAATTGCTTGGCTAAATATTAACTAGATGCATTTTCTTATAAGAAAAAAAATATATTATTACGAATACATAAGGTTTAAAATGTAAAACACGGCATCATATCAGCAGCACTGCGCAGCAATCCTCCAAACGCCTTGGGGTCATAATTGCTGCGCAGTGCTGCTGATATGATGCCGTGTTTTACATTTTAAACCTTATGTATTCGTAATAATATATTTTTTTTCTTATAAGAAAATGCATCTAGTTAATATTTAGCCAAGCAATTAAGTAATTACACTATTTTTTATGAACAATCCATATGATTTTTGAAGAAAATAGCTGTATAATGTAGATTTTGTTAAAATTATTATTGTTATAACTTTTTTATTAGTGAAGATACAACTTTTTACCCAATAACCTTTTCTATTGGCCATAATTTTTGGATTAAAACTACGTTTTAACCGATGTCCCATCTCGTGCCGTTATCGAGCTACAGTCGTTTCAATGCATAGCGCGTTCCGCCATCTTTGCCCCCTCCCCCCAAGTTCTCGACCACCTGAAAAGTAGGCGACATGCGTATTTTGTATCACCATAGTCCATATTACAACTATCAGCAAAGATATTTGATATTACTTCTTTGCGACTCTTACAAATTAATTCTACTTTCGGTAAAAAAAAAAAAACTACACGAAAAGTCAATTTTTACATATTTTATACAATAACTTGTTTATTTATAGAGATACGACCTCGGACTCAATAACCATTATTGTAGTCCAGTCGTATTGAAATATCAGCGTTTTAACGCATAGCGCAAACCGCCATGTTTGCCCCCCCCCCCCTACCTTAGGGGTCCCTTACCAGGTCAGGTCCCTACCTTATCGACCACTTTTGAAATAGGCGACATACGTAATTTTGATCACCACAGTCCTTATTACAATAATCAGCAAAGATATTTAATATTACTTCTTTGCGACACTCACAAATTAATTCTACTTTCGGTAAAAAAAAAAAAAAAAAAAAAAAAAACTACACGAAAAGTCAATTTTTACATATGTTTTACAATAACTTGTTTATTTATAGAGATACGACCTCGGACTCAATAACCATTATTGTAGTCCAGTCGTATTGAAATATCAGCGTTTTAACGCATAGCGCAAACCGCCATGTTTGCCCCCTCCCCCCTACCTTAGGGGTCCCTTCAGGTCCCTACCTTATCGACCACTTTTGAAATAGGCGACATACGTAATTTTGATCACCACAGTCCTTATTACAATAATCAGCAAAGATATTTGATATTACTTCTTTGCGACACTCACAAATTAATTCTACTTTCGGTAAAAAAAAAAAAAAAAAAAACTACACGAAAAGTCAATTTTGACATATGTTTTACAATAACTTGTTTATTTATAGAGATACGACCTCGGACTCAATAACCATTATTGTAGTCCACATTTTTAGAATTACAACGACGTTTTAACCGATGTTCTATCTTTTACCGTTTTTGAAATATCAGCGTTTTAACGCATAGCGCAAACCGCCATGTTTGCCCCCTCCCCCCTACCTTATCGACCACTTTTGAAATAGGCGACATACGTAATTTTTATCACCAGAGTCCATATTACAATAATCAGCAATAACATTGCGTACTACTTTCATGCATGCTCAAACCCCCTCAGCTCCTGGACTATCAGCTCCTGGACTACAAGGACTATGTCGCGAATGAATGGCGTTGGCGATAAGGGACCTTTAAACCGATAAGATAACGGAGCACCTCATTCATGCGTTATCTCTTTAAATGTTTAAAAACCTACCTCACTTATTGTTGCTATTTTATCAATATTCGCAATGCTGCCATTTTTGACTCGGTTGTCCGTTTGATGTCGGGTTTGCGGCATTGTATTTTTTTCTAAAAAAAGACCTTTAATTTTATTTGCAAATTAACCTATGCTTGCCTCGCAGATTTTCCTGTGATACCTGAGGATGTACCAGAACAAAATTATTTTTTAACAAATCATTACTGAACAATGTTTTTAAAATAATATTTAATAACCAGTGAATTTGTCTACCCATGCTGCTCCGCTGCGTTGAAATAAATATCATATCCGAGAAATAATAAAATTTATGATTTTTGATTGAGTAATGTATCTTTACTTATCTTTACTGTATCTGGTACTTAACTGATTCAACCGATCAATAGCTTAAATTAAAGCCTATGATTTACTGATTATTTTGAGTCTAAAACATAAAAAACAAACAGCTAATTGATTTTAATCATAGACAAACCTTATAAAAATAGTTTGTATGTTGTTTGTTCACCTTGCGTTTGCTTGAACTAACTAACTTTAATAATAACTATATAACTAACTATGTGGGGTTGATTATTAACACCTAACTTAACTAACTAACTTGGCTAAACTCGTCCGATTTGAATACGTAATAGCTTAAACGAAAGCCGGCATTTCATTAAAGGTTCATTAAAGTAAGAATTCCAAAATAAATCAAATTCATGTTTTTGGTCAATTGTATTAATCGACCAAAAACATGAATTTGATTTATTTTGGAATTCTTAAATGCATGCCTATGCTTGATATGAAATCTGTACCTGCATACCAATTTGAGACCTCAATCATGAAAATCGGTCGGGTAGAAGAGCCAAACGAACTCGGAAAAGAAAAACCAAATTTAACTCCCATAAGGGGAGCACATGGGTACACGAGGAGCAAATTTCGTTTACGTATTAGCCTAGTGGGACTGTAGATTAATATATGCCAATGCTTGGTGTGCTGTGGTCTGCGCGTGTATACCAATTTGAGAGCTAAATCATGAAAATTGGTTGGGTAGAAAAATCCAAACGAACTCAGAAAACCCAAATTTAACTCCTATGAGAAATACTTGGGGAGCAAATTTCGTTTACGTATATTACTTATATCTTTTTAAATATACAAGATGGTTTATTTAACTTTGTTGTTTTTATTTTGTATTTTGCCATAATCAAACTACCTCACAAGTATACAGTACATCTCACCTTCAATATTTGATGCTGGGGCCTAAGATTCATCATGGAACAACATCGCACTGTTCATACAAACTTCAACTCACTCTGCGCGCGGATGAATTAACACTGACCATTCGTTTGCAAGTGGTAGAGTATTAGTATTGCCTAGGGGTGTTAGGATATTTATAAACTTTTGACTTTGTGGCATTGGTTCTAATAATACAGGAAGCCTACTTTCCCATTGTCAAAACTAGTGTCACTTCGGCTGTACTCCCCAAATCTCATAATCCTCAGCACTATTGGAGCCGTCTCTCGAGTATAGTAGGTTTGACAAAGGATCAACCTGACCCTTTTCTGACCCCGTGTCTCCGAGTACTCGGTATTTGGTCTTTCAATGTGCGTTTTCGTGTGTGTTCGTGTTCTATGTGCTTATTTATTAAATGACGACCTTCATATACGGAGATGAATAACGACGCCTTGTACGGCCTGTAGATGATTCCCTGTGAATCGAAACTATTGTTGCCACAAGCAACATTTTGGATTACTGAATGCAGGTATTTAAACCATTACAATTATTCAAACGTAATCCGGGGGCTAACAACTCTTGAAAATGAAATTTGACCCTTTAGGTTCACAAGCTTATTTTTCATCGATACAATTTTGAAGATTTCACAGCTTAAATTTTCCAAATAGTTGTTTTAAGGATAGTCACGTTTAATATGTATTTTCCTGTGGTATCGTGGTTTTCCTCCAACTTCAGTAACCGCGCTGCGTGCTACTACACATATCCGCACCTCTACAGCTCCGCACCATTCAACTCCTCACATGCGCACCTCCGCACCTTCACAACTCCGCACCTCGACACCTCCGCACCTCTACAGCTCCGCACCATTCAACTCCTCACATGCGCACCTCCGCACCTTCACAACTCCGCACCTACACAACTCCGCACCTCGAAACTTTACACAGCTCCGCAACCCGACGTCTCCGCACCTACACCACTCCTCACATGCGCACCTCCGCACCTCCACAACTCCGCACCGCACCTCCTCACCTCCATTTTGCACATTATGCAACCCTCCAGTCCTAAACATTATGAACTGAAATATTGCAATCAGATTATCTCTTAGTTGTCGGAAATATCAAAGTAATTTTATGAAATTGCGTTTGGATTTCTAGGCTCAGATAAACAGAAATTTCTTGCTGGTAATAAAACCATTTTCTCCTGAAGCTTTATGAACACATAAATTATTGGAACTTACTTATTTCGTCTCTTCAACGACCAACTTGGTCATACTCATACACAATCTATGTTACGGCGTCGTTTTACTTATCCCCAGTATTATTCATGGAGGCCCAGCCTAGCTTCGTTAACGAACAGGGACAATGAGTGACAAATTTGAATGGTTAGCCATCAGCCAGCAGGTGACCGTTAGCTGGTTGTATCAGTGTCAGTCGTGTGTCAACTGTTAACAGCGCCAGTCGCGTGTCAACTGTTAACAGCATCAGTCGTGTCAACTGTCATGGGTCTCATGTACTGTGTCAACCTACTGCTACATATCGCGATTATTTTCATTTTCGTTTCTGGTAAGTTAGAGTTGGATTTATTTTTGCATTTGTTTTAAATTACGTCGTTCTTCCGTTTTTATTGGACAAATTTTAACGTATTTTTGAGTAAATATTCATAGACTATGTTTTGGAATTTAATTTACTTCTTAATCTGACAATTAAAAGGCCAATCAAAAATATTTACAGTTAAGGTGTCCACTAAGAAGAGTTCGGAGTACTTCTTGCTCATTTGAATTAAAATATTTTGTGTATCCGCACAACTGTGTGGCAGAATCAAATATAATAACAGATTATTAGTTGTTTGCAAATTAATAGGTTGCTCGTTAATAATCAGATAACATTAACGTTTTAACTTAGTTTCCTTAACAGTTTTTACTACTGTAATTTTATTTTATTAGATCTTAGAAGTATATTTTGTTAAAGTGCAATGTGAGTGATTTATGATGTAAGATAAACATTAATTGTACCAGCAAAGACAGAATCATTCGAGATTGCAACAATATAACTTCATTCCGTACAAGTAAAAAGTAAATATACATTCCAAGCTTCTTACTTCTTATTCCTTAAAAAAACATTGGACCTTTTCCGTTAATTTGCCACTAATTGAATGTGGTTAGGTTAGGTTAGGTTTTTCCAACTCTGTTCTAAACTCTATACCAACCTAACCTAACCTAACCAAAGTTGAATTCGCTACCACTTCTACTGCTAATAAAATATTGTTCTAAAACTAGTGGTAGTGAATTAACGGAAAAGGTACACAACTTTTAATATATTTTTTAGACAAAAGATATTGACTTAATTTAGACTAAGAGGAAATATTACGTAACACGCATGGTAAAGAACACTTTTTCACTTTAGTAAAGTCTCCAGAGGGTATAATCGTTTAACACATGTTTTGAAGGCAGTTATCCGTATACTCGTGCATTATTCATGAACTATTATTATTTGGGTGTGAAAATACATCACAGTTATTCTGTTATTATAACAGTTTAACCGGAAGCCTAGTTTAAGGAGGACAACATACGTGAGTCAACCCAAGCATGCGCATGCTCAGCGTAGTAAGGAGGTAACGGACGTGAGTGAATCATGCTGAAGCATCTGAAATGAATTCAACCTTACCTTTACCTTGGAAGTAGGTCAACACTTTTCTTCATCTTGGCTAGAAAAAATCTTTTAAAATCACGTTCAAAAATGTATTGTTTGTTAACAAAACATGGAACATTTGGAGACGCATCAAACATGTCTAGTGATTGTATTAGAGCTAAACTACAGGGTGGTAAAAAAGACCCTGGACAGTTAAATATTAAAAGAAATAATGCAGATAGAGCTACAATACTTGGTACAAAGTTACAGGGCATAAAACTATATTTTAACACATATTCAGTGATCCAATAACTCTTCAGGGGGACGGCCCACAAGGAGTCGGAAGAAAATCTTAAACGGGAGCATAGGTCAATATGCACATCAAATTAAAGGTCTTCTTTAGTAGAATACAATGCCGCAAACCGCACTTCAAAAGGTTGATCCTGCGCAAAATGGCAGATGTTCAAAGATTTCTTGAATCCGCCATTTTGAATCTTTGAACGACTGCCATTTTTTACTCAGACATTATTTTGAGCTTGAATTTACGGCATCGTAATCTACTAGTGAAGACCTTTAATTTGATGTGCATATCGACCTATGCTTACGTTAACAATTTTCTTCCGATTCCTAGGGCTGTGCCCCCTGAGGATAAAGCGTATAATAGCAATGTAAATTAAATGAATCTTTGAACAACTGTCATTTTGTGCAGGGTCAACCTTTTGAAGTGCGGTTTGTGGCATTGTATTCTACTAAAAAAAGACCTTTAATTTGAAGTGCATATTGACCTATGCTTCCATTTAAGATTTTCTTCCGACTCCTTGTGGGCAGTCCCCCTGAAGAGTTATTGGATCACTGAATATGTGTTAAAATAGAGTTTTATGTCCTGTAGCTTTGTACCAAGTATTGTAGCTCTATCTGCATTATTTTTTAAAATATTTAACTGTCCAGGGACTTTTTTACCACCCTGTATGTTGAAATGTATGGGAAGCTCACGACAATGGAATGAGTTGTGATTTTAACTCTCAAGATGTGGATATGATGTTGATTTTAACTCTCATCTTACATTCTCCACTAGTATACTGTTGACATGTAGACATATTACGCAATATCAGGTGACACCGGCACAACAACCTTCTAGGCGGAAGTACGGGTTAGGCTGCATGTAACATGCCCGCACACTGCCCCTGAACATGCATGATGGGGACAATTATAATATGTTAGGCCATTGATATTTCATAACGATCAATATTTCTCTACTCTCTTTGTTATTGGGAAATGTTTTGATAGGGAGTAGCTCAACATTTTCAAAAAGCAACTATAGTCTTGTTTAGTATCATTTTGTAGTTCTTGACGAAATATAACAATTAACATAAATAAAATTGAAATCGGACCATTAATAACAAAATGGCAGCTAAAAATTATTGAGACAATGGTTATTTAAAGTAATTTTGAGCTGCCATTTTGTTATTAATGGTCCGATTTCTATTTTCTTTATGTTAATTGTTATGTTTTGTCAAGACCTACAAAATGATACCAAACTCGACTATACTTGCTATTTGAAAATGTTGAGCTACTCCTACCCCCGCTACCCCTAATGGCAAAATTTTCAAACTGACCATAATTATTGTAGCCCTTCATTTCCAAACAAGTTGCCGCAAACCGATTTCAAATATCTCAAATAGTTAAAAAGTTAAAGAGGGTGCAATTTAATTTTTTTGCCACCCTCATGGTTATTTGGATTTGAAACATTTTAGGGCGCCATTTTGTTATTAGTAAGCCGATTTTGGTTTTCTTTATGTCAATGTTCATGTTTCATCAAGACCTGTAAAATGATACCAAACTCGACTATACTTGTCATTTGAAAATTTTGAGCCACCCCCTACCCCCGCTACCCTTAAGGGCAAAATTTTCAAAATTGACCATAATTATTGTGGCCCTTCATTTCCAAACAAGTTGCCGCAAACCGATTTCAAATATCTCAAATAGTTAAAAAGTTAAAGAGGGTGCAAGTTAATTTTTTTTGCCACCCTCATGGTTATTTGGATTTGAAACGTTTTAGGGCGCCATTTTGTTATTAGTAAGCCGATTTTGGTTTTCTTTATGTCAATGTTCATGTTTCGTCAAGACCTGTAAAATGATACCAAACTTGACTATACTTGTCATTTGAAAATTTTGAGCCACCCCCTACCCCCGCTACCCTTAAGGGCAAAATTTTCAAAATTGACCATAATTATTGTGGCCCCTCATATCTAAGAAGGTTGCCGCAAACCGATTTCAAATATCTCAAATGGTTGAAAAGTTAAGGTGGGGTGCAAGTTACTTTTCAGCCACCCTGTATATTAAACTACAATGGGGTTAAATATGGAAGTCTTGGCTGGGAGGCTATTAAAAGGATACCTCTTTTATTGAATACTCTATTTATAGTACATTGATCCTTTTTTTCCATTCTTCAAATCCCTCGGATCAAAACTATGTACTGTAATAATATACAACTCTTGTCTATATTCATCACCAGCTGTTTGATTGTTGTATGGGTTGCAGAAGTGACGTCAGAGAGGCCTCTGCAGCAGGCTCTTCTTTTAGGAATGAGCCAACAGAATATGTCAAGAGAAGACTGCATATGGAGAAGAGGTGGTGAGAGAGACCAGTGTCCGGACCCCAACATCTTCTACTATCTCTACATTCCAAACAGGTAATTGTCACACTTAGTAGTTAAGTTTTCTTAAACATCAAGAGAAGACTGCATCTGGAGAAGAGTTGGCGAGTGAGATCAGAGTAGTGTCCGGACCCTAATATCTTATACCACTTCTACATTCCCAACAGGTACTTTAGACAATTTGCTATAACTACAACTTCTTAATTGCCATTTTAACACCTTAAGACAAAAAGGACCAATGAACAAAAACTTGAAAGATAAGAGCTGATGTAATAAAGAAACACGGGCTCTTACGTTTTCACTTCTACTATATCTAAGAAAGTTGTAGCTGCGTGCATTTTCATGTTTAACTTAACAAACCAAATGTAATTTAGAGTCAAAGCGGGATTTATGGAAATGACACAGGGGAAATAAGTCCTTATTGAAACCCTTAACCTCTGAACTAAACTTTGAACATCTTTCACCCCAATTGTATATTCCCTTGAACCTTCTTGATTTTGAACATACAAAGAACTTCTGCTCAAATTATTTAGTAGTATTTAGATTGTAGTTTTTGTAGATTGTAATCCACAATATCTATGTACAGGACCGAGGATGGTGACGGAAGACCTCATATAGAACGGGTGGATCTTCACTCGCCGCGTTGGCTTCACTCTAGCCACTACGATCCTGCTCTGGATACTGTGGTGCTGATCCATGGATATGCCGGGGTCACTGACGTCCTCCCTGTAGGAGTCCTTAGGGATGGTGAGTATATGTGGATGGTTACATAGGCCTATAATGTGGAAGAGTTGTGATGTTTTTTCTTCCAGGAAATTAATTTTGCCAAGAATTAGGTTTTACCCTTAGCTGAGGCATAGTTTAGGGTAATTCCAATTCGTCAAGAGTTTAGTCTATAGTTTTCACTTTTATTTTCAAAATAATCAAACACTACGTCTAAAATTAGTAAAATTGTTTGGATTTGTATTAAAAGCACTATCCATCAACATGCAGCATATAAAATCATTAGAATTTTGAAATAAACTGAACAGTGTCATAATTATTATATAGACTCAAAGGTTGAAAGGCCATATTAAATGTAGTTAGGCTATAATTAAATTATATTTTATTGTAGTCTTTGACTGAAGTTTTAACATAAAGGAAGCTAAATTTTAACTCACACTACATTTCCATTCCTACATAATATTTGTGAATAACAACAATAAAACAGTTAATCAGCTGATACAATAGATAACCCCCAATTAATTTTAATGTCCCCGATACCCTAAGAACACAGAAAACTCTCAAATTTTAACAATTGCCTAACCAGACTGTAATGTCTTTAACAAGAACATTAGAGACTAGAACTCTCTTTAAAATAACGTGAGGTTGTTCTACAAGTGTTTCACTTTCGCTCAATACAAGAGTCAATAGCAAACGAAGGACTTAGAAAGTACCGGACAACTTTAACTGCTTGCCCGCATCTGTTGCGTAGAGTAGTTAGTTACATCGTTAGTTGGTTTTAAGACATCCTACAGTATTTCACTGAATCAACTCGCATCCATATCCTTCAAATAATTTTCGAGAACATGATAACATAACTCTATGGTTATTAATAGTATCAGAAAATCCATGAGCGATAAGAGGTATTTGGAAGAAGGTTTGAAAGCGCCCTTTCTGGGCTGTGTCGTGTCATCTGTAGCAACCCCATTATTCCTATAATGATATTCACAAAAAAGCGTGGAATACTTACAAAAAATAGAGTTAAAACTTACAAAACAATCAGGCTTTACATTTTTTTTTTTCGGTATAAGCCATGAGCTTGAAATATTTGGTTGTACCTAGAAATTATACCGTAATTATAATTATTACACGTTTACAACACTCGTAGCTCCTTTAATGCACTGTTGATATTGAAAGAAGCTGCCAATTTCAAACCATTGTTTCACCGTTTGGTACGTACCTAGCTTAAAATTTTTGGGATGAACCAAATAATATCATATCCTACACAATCTCCCTTAACCTAAAGTGCAGCAAAATGCGACTGAATACAATTACAGTACTTGATGTTCTTATTGTTGTATTGTTGTATCCTTCATCGATGACCGTCAATGTCGGATGGATTGTATCAAAGTGCTTTTAAAACAAAACACTATAAATAAAAAAGTTTCACTTCAAATTAAATTAGTCTGTGGCTCAAAATAAAACATTATATGATAGGTTTGAGACTTTCACGTGATTCCTAGGGGTTCTTCACTCAGCTCCTGCAGTGAGTGCAGTGAAATTTTTGTCATTAGGCTGTTTCAGATTGCCGCTTTGAAGGAGGTGATGTTCAGCTCAAACGCTCTTCAGCAAGGTGTTAAAGAGCCTTTATGACAGCGAGAAGCTTTTGAAGGTTGAGGCGACATCGTGGCGTGTCAAGGTGTAGGGCTTGCCAAGTACCATAGCGGTGTCGTACTTTGTATACTTCTCTTCTGTCAAAAAATATAAGGGTATAGCATAATGCTGTAAAGTATAACGGTTGATGGTTGTAGAGCAATCGAAGATAACAATTACAACAATTTCATTCACTTTTCATACATGAAGTCTGCTTGAAAAATAAAGGCATATACAGGCTTACAAATGCTTTAATCGTTAACTTACATCTCATTCCAGCCTACCTGAAGAACGGAGGCTACAACGTGTTCGTAGTGGACTGGGGCGAGCTGGCTGCCATCCCATGCTATCCTGCAGCTGTCCACAACCTGAGACCTGTGTCCCGGTGTGTCGCACAGTTCCTGGCCTTCCTACGGGACTCTGGTGTTCCTGTGGGAAGAACCACCTGTGTGGGACATTCCCTGGGAGCCCACGTGTGTGGCATTGCTGCCAACTACCTGCTCTTCCGGATGCACCGGATTATTGGTGAGTGTGATGTATTCAATGCTTTTAGACAAAGTCCAGTTGAATCTACTGAGGATCCTGAAGGAAAAAGACTTATGAAGAAAACAATAGCAGACAGTTGATAGCATACATTTTTCAGTGCCCCACTGTGAGGTTTTTGAGTTGAGATAGGAAACATCAGATCACAGAAAATAGACTGCAATCAAATAAAATGATTGTATATTTGGTTAAATATATGAGAATTCATCAGTGTTTTAGGATTTGGCCAGAATCTTACAGGTAGTAGTTTAACTTATTAGAGTTCCTGTAGTGCTAAAACCACTAAGAACACTCCTTCAGTGTGCCACTATCCAGTCAGTTGTGGGTTGTCTACGTGAAAACTTGACACCTTTCTACAAAGTGGTAGGCTGACAGCGATGCATTTACCCATCCACAACCATAAACAATGTAGTAACAGGCTATGCTGATGGCACCTTAATGGTGACCATAAAAGATTTTATATCTTCATGGATAGGTTTGTTTAGAGTATATTTATTGAGAGGTATTGAAAGGTATTGAGAGATTTATTGGAGATTCAAGTTCACTTCTAAAATAAATTAAAAAGGGGAAACAAGTGAAAGAAATAACAATGTTTTCATGCAGGTATAGGTATATTTAGTAATTGTTGACAGGAATAGACATTGAGTGTACTCACCATCATTCCACTTTTATGGCCATTGTACTTTTGAGTTGTCAAAATGTTATCCTAACTTTTTAACAATACATTATAATTGAGCTCAAATTTTTCTTGAAGCTAAAAGATTTCTCTATAAATCTGACAGATTACACTTTTGTTGGTTTACACCAATGATTCGTTCCAGGTTTGGACCCAGCTCGACCACTGATCAGACCCCAGAACAAGAACAGGCTGGACGCAGGTGACGCGGAGGTCGTACAGGTGATTCACACTTCCTCCACATTCGGAGACACCAGGAGGTCAGGACACATTGATATCTGTGTCAACGGAGGTCGAGCTCAGCCCTTCTGTCACAACACCACTAGTGAGTAAACTCTGGGTTTCAACACCTAACACCTTGGCTCAAACCTCTTGCCGAAGCTAAAAATGTGTGGACCATGTAGTTTCTAAAAAAATATGTTTACAAAGTGGTGCAAGGAATTTTTTCCATACACTCTACACACACTATTTTGATGTCTAAAGTAGGCTAAACAGTTCTTGGTTTATTCTATACAGTAGTTTCATTCTTGGTTGTCGATTCACCAACAAGAATTGGCAAAATCATTCTGCCGAGATATTGATATAAGACTTCACACCCATTCCCCCCCCCTTCAACCAAGTTACACAATTCACATGGTCACAGTCACAAGTCATGCATGGTATTTTGTCAACTGTATATTAAAAATACAATCCACAAGTTATTGGGAAGGCTTGGGTCGGGTCAAGAATTAATCAAAACTTATATTTTCATTGTGTGATGATATCACAAACAAACAGTCCACCAATTGACTAATTGAGAAAAGAACTGATGCCTGTTGAATGTAAATTTAGGGTCTGAAAGCAAGAGACAGTTTATCTTCCAACTATGAATAATAACAAAACAAGGGTTTATCTGCTGAAAAGAATTTTTCTATGGATTTTTTTTATATTTAGGATAATATTCCTATAGCTGTGTCATCAGGAAATTTATACATTTTACTGAAGAAAAGAACCTGCACCATTGTGGGACTCTTTATTGATCAGCAAAAGCCAGTATCTTGAACACTATTATTTCCTACAATCCCAGACTGGACCATAACTTTTTTCCAGATGAACAATTATGCAGTCACATCAGGAGTGTGTGTTACATGGCTGAGAGTCTAGACCCTGGTACAGCCAGAGTGGCTGTCCCCTGCACCAGGAGATGCCATGGAGGAGACAGGGTACAGGACTGGAAGAGACACGCTCCTCCTGTGTTCATAGGTCAGATGACTCCTGACAGGTCGGTTTTTTATGTTTTACCTAAAGAAATATCCCTGTTGATGTAGATTTAAGTGCTGGATGCATTCATACTAGTTTTTGAGCGGAGCGAGCGAAGCGAGCGTAGCTCTTTTGGATCAACTTCAATGCAACAAATAGAGAAACATCACTCAATAACGGCTGAATGCATTTCAGCCAAACTTAACAAAATTACTTAGACTAATGGTGAGATGGTTTTTAAACAGACAAATTTCAATTAGATAACGCTAATGCAATATAAAACGAACTTAAAATTTCCAATTTTTAACATTAGGCTTATGGGACTAAAGTAGCCATATGACAGTTTTTTGTTTACAAGAAAAATGTAAACAAGAGTACCCATAAGGTATTTCTGAACTTTCTAGACTTTTCTTTTAAACGTTCTTAAACCATTCCTATGATTTTAATAAACAGGAAAATGCTGTTAAAACATTTTTTAAGGCGCGGAATTCACTGAAAATCGAGAAAATATACGGAACTACTTTCTCAATGCGCGGAGCATAAACAAGGAGCGGAGGGATACGGACCAGTGACTACTTTCTTGGGAACCTATTTGTGTTGCCAGCTGATTATAAACAGCCAATTTAGAAATCAGGATTTAATAAGCGATATATCGAACCGCATCGAAATCTATATTTAATCCGAATACATCACAGGTTATATTATGTTGAATTACATCGACGGTACTGTAAGTTATTACACTTATTAATAAAACGCAGATTGAACACTGATCTAATTTAGGCATGTGGGGAATGTAGGTCGGGGTTTATGAGTATTCGTGACTAATAAACGAAATAATATGTTTATGATGTATAATTATTATTACAGCGTGGATAAATAAAAATATACTTTAAACGCCCAATAAAAACGAAGAATACGCTAAAAATAGTAAAGAAATTTCTGTATTAGGCTAATTAATTTGAGTTGTTTAGATAAGGCCAACGTTGTGACAAAATAGGATGACGTAATAGGAGACCAAATCTACATTGTCTCTGGCATGTCTTCCCTTCTATTATTATTATGTTTTCACATAAATCAGCTGATGTGATGTTTACTTTTCACTTTTGTTATTATTATGCCTACATTTCAGCCATGTTTAATTGTTCAATAGTATTTTTAGCAGTTCTTAAGTTTTTTGTTTTACATAAAAATACAATTGATAATTTTAGTCATTTAGAAGTGTTTCAATTAATTTGAGTATAAAGTATTTTACGGTTGTGTTTTAAAGTTAAAACAGGCCTACCTTTTTCGTGTTATGTTTTATTAAGGCCAATATTAAAACCAATTCAACCGATTGGAAGGGTTAAAATGAAGACAAATTTAATGTTTATAATGCACAGTTGACTTTTAAATTTCCCCTCATGTTTTTATACTTATTGTTTTTTTATACTTCAATACTTTTTACCGATTGCAAGGGTCATAATGAAGTCCACTGTTTTTTTTTTTTTTTTTACAGTTGAGTTTAAATGTAAAATTTCCCTCCTCTTTTTTTACTTTAATACCCGTTTTCAATGTTATTATCATAGTCCCAACTACTGTAATTTAATCTACTTTTGCAAGAGGTAGCCTATCTGAATCACATCAAGATGTAGTCAAGAGGTAAATTATTAAAATTTCAATCAATAAAACAAGCATTAATATATTGTTTTTTTTTATTTATTTAGTTAGTTACCCAAATATTAAATCAAGTTTTCTCCGCTCAACTGGCTTTCACCGCTCTGAAAGCAATCCTAGTTATTTAGGAATAGTGATTTATGAGTTTGAGGTACCAGAACTAAAACATATTCAAGATCTCTGATCTTACCTATCCATCGTCAACTTCCAACTCATGCCCTTTCCTCCCACCCTCTTCTATGAACAATTTTGCTACACAAGACAGATATAAAACAATTTACAACGGTTCTTTTGTTTGGAATTTGTAAAAATAGTGTTAAGACAAGTTTTTCCTAGAGAAAAGGTTCTAAAAAGTTAGACCACTGTATTCCTCCTTAAATCGAGATGATAATGGATGGATGGAGGACACAAGAAACTTTATTAAGCTAAGAGTGTTATTTGGAAATTAAAGTCTCCATTTAACTCCTTTGTGGCCAAGTGAGCAGGTTCAAAAATTGGTCTCCTCACAGTAGCCAAAAATGGTTTGAGGGAAAAGTATGCATCACATTGGGATGAGTTTCTGTGGTAAGTGGGTCAATTCCTATTGAAATTTGTTTCCAGTCGCCCTATGTGTATACAGGAAAGTGTTTAGAAGTAGAAATTGTATGTAGGTGACTTTAGAAGTTTGCAGATGGCTGTAAAAATGTGCACAGCAAGGACATGAGCGAGAATTTGTCAGTTTTCATCCAGCATATGATTAAAGTTAAGGAAACGTCTCTTCCCGATCGGTGTGTTTAAATGTACCTGCAATTACCAATGTTTTTCTTAATCTTTAGGAGACATTCACAGTCAGATCACCAGTGTCTCATTCAATCACACCGTGATCCAAATCCAAAATCTCCCTAAATGATGCCGTAAATGAAACTGATGAATCAGCATACATCATGCAAAACATCGCACACATCTATAAAATCTATAAAACCATCTCCGAACTCCGTCCATAATTTTTTTATGTATGTGGTTTATGTCTAAATACTGTACTTTGTTCACATCAGTCAACCCTCTTTGATTTCAATAGAAGTTGCTCCTTCGCCTTCAACACCACAAATATTATTACTGAAGATTATTTATAATTGGCAGTAGCGTAGAATTTCCCTCGCGCTGTTTTTTCGGCTAATATGATTTAGAGGTTGAAACTGGCTAGACTTGTATAGAACAAAGTGAGGTAAACTGCATTGGTCCACAAAGAAGTGTAAGTTATACAGAGAAATTATGCTCAAATGGGACAACTGTGCGCTTTTAGCCCTGGTATGGTGGGGCGGAAATGTAGTAGTAGCGAGCTCGGAAGAGCCTGAACAGTGATGGGGCCACATAACATATTTGTACAGAAGTTTTAGCGCAAAGGATCTCCCTACCGCGTAGGCGCTGTAGAACGTGATGACGAGGGGGAAAGGAGAGCGGGAAGGGACGACGAATAGAATTTGCTCTAGACACCACTTGTGTACCATTGAATTTATCCTCTGTGTCTTACTTCTCTGTGATTGGTCTCAAATTTAACAGAGTCCTTAATGAAAGGACAACCCTAGCACTTTAACTTGGAATTTTGTCTCGGCAAATCAAAGTTTCAAGATGATTGCTTAAAGCTCAGAACTACTATCCAATGTTCGTTCTGTGTTAACTCACACATTTACAAGGGGTTCTGTTTAATCTACTGTTAATAATTTATTTTCCAGTGCCACAGGGATGTTCTGTGTCAACAATGAAGAGCCTCCCTACTGCCCCAGACGTAGAGGTGACTCTGGTAGTCCGTTGTGTTGTGTGCCTCCCTCCGTGACGCCAGTCTACGAGGAAGACGAGACGACCACAGAACCACCAACCACCATTGAGCCTACCACTACGCAGGAGCCTGTAGCTACAGACTTTGTCAGGACTTACACCATCAACCCTCTGGCTACAAGGTTACCAGGATTGGCAGAGAATTGATCCTTTGTATTTTTCATTTCCAGAGACATTTTGGATTGGTTAATTCTTTGTGCGTCTCTAATTCTGGATTTTGAATTTTGTGTGTAAATTTACTGTTCAGCAGCTCTAGAGAGGGCTATTGCTTATGGTACTCTTTCATTCAGATTTTAAAACTGCATTTTGATTCTGTTACCAAAAAATAGGAAATATTATGAGTATGAACCATGTCTTGTAAGTTTTTACAATTATCTTCTCATACTTCCATGGAAAAAGTTCAAAAAAGTATCAGGGAGTGGTTTAACAGTGACAACAGTATGCTTTGATGACATGTCTCAAGGGAGTATTTTGTAACTTTATCGACAGACGATTCTGCCTGGTGAAAATAATAGTGATACACTTTAGAATTATTAATGAAACATTTAAGTTAAGATTTAACCAAGGTTTAATTTCTACCTCATCTTCTCTGTTTACATTTGATTTTAAGTTTATACTGAATTCTATTTATAAAAGATGGGATTGATAAAATTACTTAAGTATTTAAAATACAAGCGTAACAATAGTCTACAAAATATGTACCTATCTAGAATGATTATGTATATAAACAATTCTCATAATCATAGAATGATTATTGGACAATCAATGTATACAGTAATATTGTGGTACAACCATTGTCTTTAGTTAAATATAAAATTATTACTATAGCTAAGATGCTTGATAAGTTGAGAGTATGTTTTGAAAAAGCCAAAAATTAAATTATAATTACATATTAGTTATATTTCTAGTTTAAAAACATGCATATACACTCCTTGTATTTATTTAACGGTAATTTATTTTTTATATTACCCGAAACAATATTTGTCTAGTTACCTCATGTTAATTGTAATTAAAAATAAATTACATATTTAAAAAAATTTTATTATTTTCCCAAAAACAATCATAAAAAGAGTTTTTTACAATCTATAGAATTTTGTATCATGATAATAATACCATTGACTAACAAACCAATGATACCGGTACTATTTAGATTTAGAACAAAATTGTAGAAATAAAAATAACTTAAATTTTTTGCCAATGCAAGTTAAAAAAATGTTTCTCTTATCTAAGGAATTAGAGTAACCTTAGTTTATCTAATAGAGTGGTAAAAGCACTATAAAGAGGGATTTTTAGTGCAGCTTGCTCTGCCTTTTTACTTGTACATTTTATTTAAATTTGTATGCAAACTGTGGATCCAAGATAAGAAAAATTGAATGCTTAAATGTTTTTTGCCAACAAAAGTACAAATTGCAAGTTGGTGGCAATATAAAAAAAATGTAATGTAACCAAAAACTAAATAGTAAAAGGAAGATTTTCCACTGTTGAAATGACAATACATTTTTTGTAATATAATAATGGAACGTTTAAGCATAAAATAATTTACGGGAAAGCGTCAAAGAGTGTTTTTGTAACCAATCAAGCCTTATTGATATTTTTTATTTGATCAAACTATTATTTCTGCCTCATCAAATTATCCATGATGATTACCAAATGGATGACAAACGGTTGAATTAGATTAAATTATGAACTCAACCATAAAATCGTCCACTAATACTTGTGTTGAGTTGTGAAGGCATTGAATATCCTATCATGTCAGAGTTTTACAGTGGTCCTATTTTTGTCACAAATCCAAATTTTGGAAAACCAAAAACAGCTTGGGAAGAGGAGTCAGCACCAGATGAAAGTAAAAAGTCATTCTACCCGCACTTTAGGAAGTTTGCATATTTCTGCAGATGTCTAGGATGCTTTCCTGTAAACATTTCTAAATCAAGTTCAAAACTTACCTTCTCCTGGAATAGCGCTTTGACAGTTTTTTCTGTTTTGGCTTTACCAATGGCCCTATTGATATATTTGATATTGTATCCTATACAAGATCCTGTATTTCACATATTCGTTTTCTTCTTCCTCCTCAACCCTGTATCCCTTAAAGTTCTCTTCATCCGGAAAATACCCTCTTTGATCAAACTTGTTCGTGCGATGGATTCTCTGGACACGGACCCTTGTTTGAAAGAAAGCGACCCGGATAAAACAAGGAAAGACTGCAAATTCGTCATCATCTTCACTTTAACAACCACCATCCTGGCAACTTTTCCAGTTATGATCATACTCCATGGGATATTTCAGGATGTCTATGGTCTCTACTGGGTAAAATTCCAAACTATTTTCTTTCAGGTTTCCCAAATGTCTCTCTACTACGTTGTTTGTTACCAGATGAACCATTTCTATGACCGGTTTTCCACCATGCTAGAAGCCCTTTCTGAAACTCCTTGCACGGAAGTAAAAGAAGAAAAGATAGAGCGTTACCGCTTGACTCATGCTCGCCTCGTCACCTGTGTTCGGCTCATGGACGACACCTTTGGAACGTGGATCGGATTTGTTTATGTCACCACAAGTTGTTGGTTTGTCATTGCATGTTACTTGTCAATTTATGGGACTAATAATTTGAAACATGTGATCACACTTGTACAGGTTATCTTGATTTTGTTCTTCATCTATTACCCAGCAGTGCTTAGCGACCACATCTGCAACAAGGTTTGTTGGTAGTTTAAGATATTCTAATAGAGATTAGGGATGAGCATGTATGCCACCAACACACTATAGTGAGTGATGATTGTTGAAAAAATCAGATGCAGATGTCAGTTTAGGCCACTGAGCTAAAATTATAACTGGAGGTAGCACTGCCATGGCAGAAGTCTGTCAAGAGTGTGTCGCTGATTTTGTTAGGTTGGTATAGCAGTGAGTTTTTTTAACCAATGACATGGCTTCTATAACTAGGTCTGTATAGCAGTGAGTTTTTTCATCCAATAACATGGCTTCTTTATAACTCACACCTCACGCTAACATGGCGGCTGGCGACACGCATCTTTGACATTCAGTGCTACCTCCAGTTAGAATTATAGCTCAGTGGTTTAGGCACTGGCTAAGATCAGCTGGTTCTGGGTTTTAGTGAATTTACCATATAGGGAATAAGCTATTACCGTAGGTCTCATGGTAAGACCTGGACCCGAAACAGATTTACTTTTTTATTTTGAGGTCCCCAGAGGCCAAAAACACCATCCGTTCAAATTCATATATATATATGTCTGTTAGCTCGATAACTCGAACAAAAATTATCCGATTTTGATGAAATTTGTTATAAACGTGTAGACCTATATTTATTCAAACGAGTTCGCGAACCAGCATGATCGGACCATGGGAACGGGGGTTTATGGGGGGTTTTATGGGGTAAAAATGGGTTTCACCCTGTTTTTTTATGTATGTTTGTTGTATGGGTTCGCCCTAAAACCATAAAATTTTGGAATTTCTTTCCCAACCATTTTGTAGAGATTAAAAAATAAATAATTTAGTATATTGAAGCATTGTTGTATGCCTAAGGGTAAAGGAGAACATTCAAAAAAGGGCAAATGTAAAATTCCCATGTTATTCTTATGGAGAAAATGAAAACTGTTGTGGTTGACTTGTTTATGGATATATTTCGATCAAATTTGGCAAATTTATTTATTTCATCCTATACCGTTGACGTTTGGTCAAAAGACACTGTTTACCTTCCCCGTAGCAGAAAACCTAAGCACTCGTTAAATCTAATGTTATTTAAATTGGGAATAAATATTTTTTATTTATGGAAATATTTTAGTAAATATGTAATCAGACAAGTTGAAATTCGCTTAGTCTGCAGGTTTGCTGCGGCGGGAGTATTGTTACTTTTATTTAATTTTCAGAATAAGGATTTGATTCACTTCGTCCTCAAAATGGCATTGGAACCATTCCCTGACAATGAGTTATTTCAGGTATGTATTTCCACTTATTTTGTATACTGCAAGTAGACCACTTCTCATTGTTATAAATTTGAAGCTGGTTTTTATGAATGTTTTATGTCAAATAAAACTTTAGCACCTATATTTCCAACTAAAACTCTCCCAATTTTGTAGTAAATTTAACTACTTTATATATAACTGCAGGATGAGCAGTAATTTACAAAAAGATCTTTCTATTTTGTCAAATAATTCAAGGGTAGTAAAATAATCTTACAAATGAAGAGGAGAAATCAATAATGCACTCATGCACTACCACAAAGAAAATACGGGAGCGTTTCATAAAGTCCAAATTTCACAAAGTCCAACGGTTAAAATATTAAATAAACAGAGCGTTTCACAAGGTCCTAATTTCATAAAGTCCAAACATTCAAATAATCACCGTTTCACAATGTCCAAATTTCACAAAGTCCAATGTTAAAAAATCAAATAAACAGAGCGTTCACAAGGTCCAAATTTCATAAAGTCCAAAACTATAACATTCAAATAATCACTGTTTCATAATGTCCAAATTTCACAAAGTCCAACCTTAAAATATCAAATAAACAGAGCGTTTCACAAGGTCCAACGGTACAGTCTGGGCCAGAAGTCTCTACAGTGGTTGCCACGGTCAGATAGCAGGCACCGTCCGCCGGCGCTCAACTACTGATTACTGATTACTTTCTGTTGCAGCAAACCTAAGTACGGTACTTTTTAAACTAATGCTATTTAAATAGGGAATAAATGTGATCATTTGAAGGAGATATTCTAGTGTAAATCAAATAAGGGAAATGGAAAATCGATTAGTCTGCATTTTTGCTGCGGAGGGGGTGAATACCACTACTTACATTCTTTACAACGTATTGACGCGTGGCAACAACACTAGGTAGTGTAGTGCCTACATACTGAACCACGGCAACCTCTGCAGTGGCTTCTGGCCGAGACTGTACCGTTGGACTTTGTGAAATTTGGACCTTGTGAAACGCTATGTTTATTTGATATTTTAACATTGGACTTTGTGAAATTTGGACATTGTGAAACGGTGATTATTTGAATGTCATAGTTTTGGACCTTATGAAATTTGGACCTTGTGAAACGCTCTGTTCATTTGATATTTTAACGTTTGACTTTGTGAAATTTGGACCTTGTGAAACGCTCTGTTTATTAATATTTTAACCATTGGACTTTGTGAAATTTGGACCTTATGAACCTCACCCGAAAATACCTTAACAGAGTCTCCAGCTTATCTATAAAGATAAAAGTTTTAAACAGAGTATGTTTGGCAGCTATTGTTTTATGCATTTACTCATATTAGTCCAGCTGTCATACTTCCCATATGTTGTTAGCCATATGATTGTTCCAATGATTGTTGCACAGGTGATGTACTTTCTGCGTCAGATAAAGGTCAATATTGTGTCTGTCAGCGCAGCAGGCCTTGCCGATGTGAACAAGGAGATTATTACAAAGGTGATCTGCTCAAAGTTCCTATAGGTTGTTTATGTTTATTTCCTCGTTGCCAGATAACAGTTTTGGATGCTCTGCGGAAAGGCATCTATGAACACTCAATTCAACTAAAATGACAAATCTTAGATTAAAATGTTGAATTTTCTGTTATTACGTTAAATGTTCAATTGAAATGTTGAGCTGTGGATTATCCCAAAGATGGATTGCTGCAAAGCATCCAAATCATCGACCAGTATTTTCACCAGTTGTCGAGGAACTTCGCTCATCTCCTGAAGAACGCTGATCTCTGATAGTCAACTTTGATGAGGAAGCTTATATTTTAGTTTAGTTTTAGTTTTGATACATTGATGGCTATTAGTTCTTCTTTGTAAGACGTTAAAGGCTAGACAAGACGCTGTCTAAAATATCTAGCTGACGCTGCTTAATATTGAACACGCAAGAGAACATTTTTAATACCAATGACATTAAGGTTTTTAGATCTTTCTCCACAAGAAAGCACTGACACAAAAACCGTTACCAGTATATGATCAACAAGACCACTGAACCTTTTGTTTTGGAGTTTCTATTCAAACATAACTCCACTCTTTCAAACTCATTTTACATTTTATATTTGAAAATATAATATATCGTAATAAACCGCACTTTTCCCACAGGCGCTGTCATTGTTTGCAACTTTCTTCGTGGCGACCATCCAGTTAGAGTCTCAAGTTGTTATGTTCGTAAATGGGCTTCGTCGTTTTTTGGAGGTGAAGGATGAAGGGGAAAACAACACCTTGAGTTACGTCACTCTTGAAAATCACATGTACAGAAACAATTCAGTACCTTAAAGATGAACAGTGAGAAAAATTACTTGTTCCTTAAATGTTTGACAAATATTGATTTACTGACTTAATAAACTGTATAATAGGATGTTGGTGTAATACATTAAATGGTCATGATGTAAAAAAGTTGTAGTTGTAATTTGATTGTAACTGTTATGTTGAATGTTATAGTTTGTAAAGTTATAATTACCTTTTTAACTCCTTCAATTAATTACCTCCTCCTTGACCGAGACCAGCAGAGCCGGATAGGTTGCGGCAAATTTACTATTTACACTATATACACTAAAACTTCCTTGGATTGGAATTTGAAAACTTTGTTACGTACTTTGGTGGTGGATGATTTGGCTTATTAAAGTTTCTCATTAAAATAGTCTTGTAGGCTTCTCCCTCAACAAGATTTTCAGGGCAGTACGATATACACGTTCAGTATAAGAAGGATGTGGTTGAAATTTTTCCTGCAAATTTTTTTTCCTGTTAAATTTACTGTATACAAAAAGGTTTATCCTTCTAAGAACACTATTGCAGAGAAAATAGTTTTCAAATTTAAACTTTTTACCCATTTGCTCTTTCTTCCACGCAAAAGTGACCATATATTAGACTTGCAATTATTATATTTTATATCACACGTACATAAATTATTCATCAAACCATTGTATAAAAAAATTACATCATCCTACAAGTATAACCAAAACGTATGCAAATCACAAAGCAAAAAGCCAAGGATGAATTTACCGTTTGCTTCCAAATTGGATTCCTCGGTGAATTACATTGCAAATAAGGCTGGTCAGCTGGTCAGCTGGTCACTGACTGGTCACATTAGCATTGGAAGCATCCCGTCTAATGTCCGTTGACAGTCAAGAGACATGTGGATAGTCCTGCTGCTCGTAACAGGTACTTTATTGCCAATAACTCTAGCCAACTAGAATACCAACTACCAGTAGAAAAGCCTTTTGATTCTATTTGTTTGAAATAATAGGATACACTCACACTCTTTATTTTATTTTGTTTTGTATAAAACAATATAGAGTTCTTAAGAGTTTTTGTAAGCTATCAAGGGAACTATAACAGAATTTAATGGAATTTTTGGAATTAAAAATGCAAAACAATTAACTTAATCTTTTAAGTTGTAACTATAAATCCGACAGTTTCAAAATATAAATTACTGATACTTATTTGTATGTTGATACCTCCTGAAAAATATGTCTACTTAGCTGTTTTGTTCTATTTAAACGGTTTTCACCTATGATTTAGCTATAGGAAGAAAAATCTGTTGTATGAAATAACGGTTTAACTAAAAACCCAAACTATCCAAAACTTTTCATCTTTTTGTTTCCCCACCACCTAGACTGGATTTTTGCGGACGCTTCTACAGAAGAATACTATAGACTGGATTGGTCCATTAGAACCTGTAGGTTACGTTTGTATGAATCTTGCGATGAAAACAGCGACATCCTATATTATTTGTATTCAAGGTAAGTTGACCATACATTTTGTGTCCTATTTGATTCAAAATATTACAAATGTACCTTAAAAATTACTGTACTCTCTGACACAAAATGTTAAAATAGAATACTGTTGAAAACTGTTATGTAGTGTATTTTAAAGATTTTGGTGTTTCCTTTTGACAATGGCTTATCTATCTTTCAAACATCCTAAAACCTAAAACCTAGTTCTCCCTACTTCCCACTAGGAAAAGGATTAGTGAAGATTAGTGAAGTGTATGGCGAGAACATTATGAGTGACGGAATAGTACGCAAGTGGGTATAAGGTCATTTAAAGACGGCCCAACAACGTTCATGATGAGCAACGCACTGGGTACTGGGGACAGTAATGACGCCGCACAGTGCGTTGCTCATCATGAACATTGGTGAGGCTGTCTTTAAATGCCCTTACCCACTTGCGTATTACTCCGTCACTCATCATGTTCATGCCATACACTTCACTAATCTTTCGATGAATTTCAACGGCTTTCACACCTTTAGCACTTAAAAAATCTAATTACAGCGGGTACTTCACATTAGGCGGCAGTCTCAATTGGCGGCACCATTTTGAATGCTCAAAACCGGATGTAAACACGGCCGATTGTTGCCAAACTTCCGGTGCAGGCTTGCCAATAGATGCACATACACAGCGCAAATGTTCAAAATGCCAATCGTAGCACTGGAGGAGAAATTTAAAAACAGTACTAACTTAAAAAACATGTCTCATATTTCCAACGGATAACAGAATATCAACACTGTTCACACATTGAATTTACGTAAAGTACTGGTACAGCAAATATTGATATTAGCTGTACAACAAATAAACACACTGTTGTTAAGATATATGATTTGATGCCTACATTCCAGAGAAGATGACCCACCTGCTGTATTAAATGGATCATTCAGATCACTACCACAAGGCTATGACGAAACATTACCTCTAAAGGTCTTAATCCATGGATTTGCTGGCAGAATTCTTACAGATCCTACTTCAGACATAAGAAAAGGTATTTATTAAAAAACCTGTAGTAAAGTGCATTATAAATAAAAATATAGATGTGTGGTAATTTATAAAAATGAGGTACTAGCATTGAGTATGAGTAGCATGAGAGTATGTTTACTCTATGATACTAGTCACTGCATTCAACATGAAGAATTATTTACTTCATACTATACTCATACTATATTCATACTTCAAGGATTTGTTTAATACATACAGTCTACCCTTACTATGAATCACAAATTGTTTTAAATTTGCTTGGAAAGACCTGTTTAAGCTTAAAAGTCTTACCTTGAAATATTTCTACCATCTTATTTTAGCTTCAGTCGAATAATCCCCAGTCTTTGTCTTTCCATATTTTGTATCTTAAATGTCCAACTGTTTTTCTTCTACATCATGCCTGTGTGTGTATGCGTGTGTGTGTCAAATTTAATTGTCTTACCTCCATGCTCAAATTTAACTTCCCCTTTCCAAACAAAATAGTCAAGTATGATTGAGATAGCAAGATTTTACTGTATTTAATTATTTTAACTATAAGCTTATACTATGTATGGGTAAATATTTTAACTTACTGTTATGGTTGTAGAGTATATGAAGGCTGGCGGTTACAATGTCCTGGCTGTGGACTGGGGCAGGCTAGCTTTGTTGCCATGCTACCCATCAGCCACACTAAATACCATAGAGGTAAGAGGGAATGACTGAGTTTATACATTACCAGTATGCTTCGCTTTATTTATTTTGTGTCTAAATAAAAATATCTGTGTAACCAGAATCTGACCTTTACTGTAGACACATAGTAATAAGGAATGTACATCTGGTTACTGTACCATTTTGGACAAATGGGATGAAAAAGCGCTGATTACTTTACAAGAGTATTTGATGTTGGAAGTTGGAACTTATATGAAGTGGTCTCAATCACTATGTATTAAAGGTACGGTACTCATACCCAATTCAGGTTCCGTATTGTTTCATACCTACCTGGCCTGATTATGGAAGAGAAACAGCTGGGATCCATTGAGCCATTTAAGCAATTGTCTCATTCTACCGATCCCCGTTTAGTAGTTAGGTACCTACCAGGACCCTTTTCATGCCGGAAATACTACCAAGGAAGAAGAAAAAGTATAAAATTCAAAAGTAAAAAAGTAAGAAAATTCTGTCTCCATGAACTTGGTTTTAAGAGTCTTGAAGATAATTGTAATAGGTAGCTGAAGAGTGAAAAATGATATGTTATTTTCCTTCAAGTACCCCTTTGAGTATTGCTTCAGTTGAAGTTTTAAGCTATATAAAGCAAATTTAATAAAACCAAACTAGCCAACTAGCCGAAAAAAAGATTTAAATTTGAAACCTGGAGGGGAAAATCATGGTACCGTGAAACTTTCAAAAGTTTGCCATGACTCAAAAAATCTTCCACTTGTTCTTAGCCTGATGCTCTGCAGCCAATTAAAATAAAACCTGAGTTTCTTAATTACAACCAATGGGAAGAAGAAACCTGTATATTGGATGTTTTCCTTCTGTTACTTGACATAACATGTATTATTTACAGATAACTCCATCACTATACAGGGTGGCTGAAAAGTAACTTGCACCCCCCCCCCCCTTAACTTTTCAACCATTTGAGATATTTGAAATCGGTTTGCGGCAAACTTCTTAGATATGAGGGGCTACAATAATTATGGTCAATTTAGAAAAATTTTCCCTTAGGGGTAGCGGGGGTAAGGGGTAGCTCAAAATTTTCAAATGATAAATATAGTCGAGTTTGGTATCATTTTACAGGTCTTGACGAAACATAAACATTGACATAAAGAAAACCAAAATCGGCTCACTAATAACAAAATGACGCCCTACTGCCATTTTGTTATTAATGGTCCGATTTCTATTTTCTTTATGTTAATTGTTATGTTTTGTCAAGACCTACAAAATGATACCAAACTTGACTATACTTGCTGTTTGATACTTTTGAGCTACCCCCTACCCTCGCTACCCCTAAGGGCAAAATTTTCAAAACTGACCATAATTATTGTAGCCCTTCATATCCAAACAAGTTGCCGCAAACCGATTTCAAATATCTCGAATAGTTCAAAAGTTAAAGAGGGTGCAAGTTAATTTTTCTGCCATCCTCATGGTTATTTGGATTTAAAACGTTTTAGGGCGCCATTTTGTTATTAGTGAGCCGATTTTGGTTTTCTTTATGTCAATGTTTATGTTTCGTCATGACCTGTAAAATGATACCAAACTCGACTATACTTGTCATTTGAAAATTTTGAGCTACTCCCTACCCCCGCTACCCCTAAGGGAAAATTTTTCAAAATTGACCATAATTATTGTAGCTCCTCATATCTAAGAAGTTTGCCGCAAACCGATTTCAAATATCTCAAATGGTTGAAAAGTTAAGGGGGGGTGCAAGTTACTTTTCAGCCACCCTGTATGTAACTGAACAAAATATTGTCACTTTTTTTAATACTTTCTCTCTGCGTTCAAGAGCAAAGCTCATTTTGCAGGCTTTAGACTGCCAATGGCCGCATTAAAGGTATTGACCCTCAATGCCCCAGGGAAGGGAGTTTGGAAGGTTGAGACTGGTAAAAAGGTAAAGAATGGTATGGAAATCCTAGATAAGTCCAGAGGCCAGTGTGTGACAGGAAATATGGGAGGGGATGAGATGTGAGAGGGGTGAAGAAGGTTACATGAAGAGACTGGCCTACTCGAGAAGCCCAAAAGGTGAATTTGTGGTGTAAGGAATAACATGTAAAAGATAGTGAAGAGAAGAGGTTAAGAATAAGACGAGTTAGAAGTAGAGGTAATATTGGCAGATCAGCTAATATAGGGATGGAGGTGAGAGTGTTTGACAGGTGTTTAAAAATCATAAAAGTTTGCTTTGGAGATTAGGGTTGTGTCGAGGGGATTAGTGAAGTGAATGCAAGGAAAACTGAGGGAAGGTCATGGTGGAAGACTTTACTCGCTTCCACCATGATGTAGGAGGATCTGGGGCCAAGAGTCTGGAATATTTCAAATTTGAGACCAAGTTTTAATCTGTTTTAACAAAATAAATCTTTCCCTCGCTTTTCAAATATTCATAATGAAATATGGTTTCTAGGTAACGAAATTTACAATTTAATGAGGTAATAATCACCTGTTTTGAGTTGCTTTGGTGTCTAGGTGGAATGACTAATGCATTTGGGGGATAAAATTGTGTAATGTGTACAGTACTGCATAAAAGGGGGTGATCGGTGATATATTATAATATGTTATGTGATCAACTTTAGAGACACACTGAACACAAAATATACCCTTTTGAATAGGAAATAAGTATGAATCGGTACCTTTTTACTGAAGTGATGTCTGTAGCCCATAGAGGAATGAGAGTCTTAATGGTTGGGCAGCTTTTAGAATAGGTACATGATACATAAGTTCTATTTATATGCAAAAAATAGAGTAGGGGAATAAATACAAAGTAAAAATGGCTAGATTAACATCTCTTCAGGTTGACCAGTACATGGGGAATAAGGCAGGATGACCAGACATCACGCGACAGGGAAAGGGTCAGAACAAAATATGAATGAAATCTGAGCTAGACTGATGTGTATGCGTGAATACGCAACAGTTTATTAATAGTTTTAAGAACACTTTATCGGTAGCACTGAGCAAAAAATTAGAACTGTTGAAAAATATTGTATGTTTACTGATACCTTTGATTACACTACCCAAAGAAAAGCACTTATAAATAGGTATTCTTCTAATTTATCTTCCACACTTCAGACAAATGGTACTTCTAGGTTTAACAGACACATAATCCTGAACATAGAGGAACTTTCTTGGAAAAGATGTGGGAAGAGAATGATGCATTACATTTCAGTATGATTAGCAAGAAGTTGGTCCATGTCATTGAAGCACTAATGCAAGAAATTAAAGGTTACCTCTTGCAAAAGGTTTGAGATACTGGTATAAGGTATAGAAACATTTCTGGGAGATGTAAAGGAAATATAACACATTTAAACATAAATTTTAGTGTACTTTTTTATACTGATTTAGGCGAAGGGCGTGTCATTAATGATATTTATTTTCAAAATAGTAAGCAATGACCCCTCTCCCAATGTATTTCTACTGCTGATTAATCAGAAACATTATTGTTTTGTTTAAAAAAAATAATATCATAGTTTTGTAAATGGATCTATTGTAGTTTTGCTCATCATCCATAACCCACAAACTTATTTGATAGTCAGAGCAGAAAGAGAACTTTATTATAAACTACTATAGTTAGTTAACATTTTATAAGTTCTTGAGGTGAAATATCTTACTTTTTGGATATGTCTTTGTCTTGAGCATGTATATCTGGAACTAGTGCATTCCAAAAATTTGTTTCTTAAGATTTTCAATTAGGTAGGCAGATGTCTGGGAGAGTTGCTGCTGAGGATGTCTCCCACTCATCCTCCGTCTCAGCTTCACATCATCGGGTTCAGCCTCGGAGCTCACATAGCTGCCTTTACAGCCAATTACGTCCAAGCTCACTCCGGACAAAGAGTAGCCAGGATTACAGGTAGCTCATGCAACTTAGAACGCTGGTCTAGTATTTAGGTACTGCTCTAACCCTGTTTCTTATGAAAGGTTCTACGACTTAATTCAAACATACTTAACGTAGATTAGATTATTCATACAATGCCGACCTAGGTGAAAAAAGAGAAGATAAAAGGATGAGTGTTGCATGAAGCTTTGTTATCGACTGAGATGGGGTCGATCTTCAGCCAGGGACTACTTAAACACTTGCTTTTCTCATTGAACCGGATATCTTCTAAGACAAGTACCTGGGAGATTGTTTTATTTAACTGTTTGTACGCCTCTAGCACTCATCTGACACACATATCCTGAAGTTGTCCACACTACGAAAAGAAATGAACTAAGAACATATTTTTTCAATGTTTTTGTAGATAAAAAACATAGATAAAATAATCTTAAGTTTTTCATGCAACATGATCTAAATGTAGTTTATGATCAAATTCCTCCATATTGATGACAATTTTGTGTTGATTTTCTTCAGGTTTGGATCCTGCTTTGCCGTTCTTTGCCACACTGAAAGACTCGTGGAAGCTGGACAAAGAGGATGCTATTTTTGTTGACGTCATTCACACCAACACTGGTCTCTTTGGCAAGATTGAGCCCACTGGTCATATTGACTTCTACGTAAACGATGGCACGTTACAACCTGGCTGTACTGAACATAGAAGTAAGCTTTAGACTTGTATAATGATTGTAAAATAAGATCTGAAATTTAATCTCACTTTTACTAAAGTTTACTACGTCACTTTTGCGCAGTTACTGTACATAGTTAGTAAACTATGCAAAAATAGTTAACGAAGCAGTAAATTAAAATTTAAATAATGACAATAACAAGTTCTTGTTAACCTAACTAGCATGTCTGATCGACAAAATAACGACACAAATCTACAAAGCAAAGGTAGGAATAAACGGCTGAAGTACACATGTAACTGCAAGCTGACAATATTTGGTAGCTGCAAGAGAAGTCAACCTTAACACATCGGTGAAAAGTTTCCAATACCTGTAAGGTACAAACTGTCCTACTAACTTGTTACTGTAATTACACATCACATCAAACTGCTGTCAACAAATTATGACAATCCCCTCTGTCCCTCCTGTCTTACTTCACTATCTCTCGCTCGCAAATTTATATGATTGATTTAATTTTTGTTTCAAAAAAGGTTTTTATCAAGTTAAATTGCATTCCATTTTCAATTTGATGTTATTAGACGTTCATACCATTTATTTTCCAAAAGTATTAATGTTTGTGCAGGTAAATTTTACTCTTTTAAAGCCTATTATATTTTGATTAGATTTTATTTCAACTTTGGCGGCCAGTGGTAGTGAACAACATAGAAAATTCTGACTAGCAGAACTGGTTTAACACAAACTGTTGGTATTTATGGTAGCTCAGCTTAGCCTAGTTGGAGATACTTTGAACTATAATGATTTCAAGCTGGTGAGGAGAAGCTGCCATTATTCAGAGAGGGGGGCAATCAATGGTAAACTGCAGCAGGGGCAGCTATGGTCATTGGTCAACAACCTCAAAAGTTATATTTTGGTAATGACTGTGATGTCTGGAACTAGGTCAGTTAGTGTATATTAGATATTTACCAGGTTTCTAAGTTTGCCTGTTACCTTTTCCACAATTGTGTTCATTTATCAGTGGCACATATTTAATTTGTTGTAATTTACTTCTGGCCATTTTCAGACCCTCCATTATGTAGTCATATGCTGGCCAACACTTACTTCGCTGAGTCTATCACCTCCACAGTTGGATTCTATGGTACCTCATGTCCCAACTACTTCCAGTACACGCTGGGCTGGTGTCCCCTCACTAACAAGTACCATCCAGCAGCTCGCTCTAGGATCCTCATGGGGGAGAAAGTTATTTTTGGGTGAGTTCTGTGACGGTTGGAGACATACTTTTGTACGTATTTTAAGAAATGAAAGTTCTATAACCAAAATGCAATTGTCTACATTGTTATTAAATATAAATACCCCCACCGCAGCAAACCTGCAGACTAAGCGAATTTCCGTTTTCCTGATTGGATTTACACTTAAATGTTTCCTTACAAATATTACATATATTGCCTATTTAAAAAGAATTAGTTTAACAAATACTTAGGTTTGCTGCAACAGGGAGGGTAAAACTGTTTTTTTAATGTAAAATGTTAATAGGTAGGCCTACTGTAGTTTAGTAAGAAATTAATGTATTTTCCAAATTTAATCAAAATATGTTCATAAACAAGCAAAAACTACAACTGTTGACTTATTCTCCATAAGAATAACATGGGAATTTTAAAATTACAATTTTTTAAAATTTTCTCCGTAACCATTAGGCGCACAAAAACGCTTCAATATACTAAATTATTTGTTTTTTTACGCTCTACAAAATGGTTTAGAAATAAATTGTGAAATTTTGTGTTTTTAGATTCAAAAATGGGAAAAACCTATTTTTACCCCATAAAACCCCCCATAAACCCCCGTTCCCATAGTCCGATCATGCCGGTTCGCGAATTCATTCAAGTTTACCCCGCTTTACACCTTTAAACCAAATTTCATCAATATCAGAAAAAAATTACTCAAGTTATCGTGTTCATATAAATCTATATATATACATATATATAAAAATTTCAACAAATGGTGTTTTTGGCCTCTGGGGACATCAAAATGAAAAAGTAAATCGGTCCCGGGCCTAGGTCTTACCATGCCACCTACGGTAATAGCTACTTCCCTATAGGGAAATTCGCTAAAATGCTAAAACCAATGTGCTATCAGTGGTGTCTTGTAACCAGGGTTCTAGGGGGCTCTGCCAAAGCTGATAAAGCAGTTTTCATTACTAAACTATTAAAAAATATATTTCCTTAATTATTTACTGTATTTAGATATGAGTAGATTGAATAGTAGATTGAAATAGCTGAAAAATTTAATCCGTGTTTTGAGAACCAAATCTAGTAATTTACTTTCAAACACGAAGTAGAGTTTGGGTCAAAGGTCAAAGTCATAAGGCCTCTTCCTACGTAGGCGACAGGAGCAGCGCAATGGGAGCGACAAAATTCCAAAATGTAGGAGCGTCCTTAGTGGGCGACACTTTGGCAGCATGCGTTGCGAGCATATTATCTTGAAATTACAGGCCATTTAGTATCTTACCACTGTTGTCGCTACCAGTGTTGCACGTGTCGCAGAAATGCTCAAATAGAACTCTCCTATTCAGGCGACACAGTATTCTCACTGAAGAGACTGTTGTGATAGGTGTTTCGGTAACATTTTGTCCCACCACGTGCATGCATTCTAAGGAAGAATTCATTGCTTCAGTACAAAAGTATCCTTCAAAATGTAACATGCGATACATACACAATCATTGCAAGTTAATGAACAATAGATTATGGTCGAAGATCGCAGAAAAACGGAATGGAAATAGCATGTACCTTCCCAATATCACATTGCCCACGTGGGGTATATTGTTTACATAAAAACCAGTCACAAAGTTATTTTACTATTTGCTCGCCAAGTAAAGTAGGAAGCCAAATTCTACAGCATTCTGGTGATTCAAGCATTTACACTGGCTTCACTACTGTCACGACACTCCTGTCGCCCACCTAGGACGGAGCCTGAGATTCATAGCTTAAATTGTTATAAGTTATATTATCATAGCATTTCAAAGACGATTTGATTGCTTACTATTCAGATTGTAATGAATAATTTTAGTTTTCCGTCTAATCAGTGTGATATAAGAAATAATATTTGACGTACAATAATCATATTTTTATGTACTGGTTGTTTCAGAGCTCGAGGACTCTATATAGTACAAACAGGATCAGCCCCTCCTTATGCTCTTGGCTAGTTAAATGCTTTGGAGGCACAAAAATCTAATACCTAAAATCTAATTCCTCATCCTCTGTGGAGTTAACAGAGTACCACTGTACATTAGTAAAAACTACTCAATAGAATTTTTTATTACCACCTAATAGTTTTATTTACCTGATAGTCAATGATGCTAATACCTAAAACAAGGTTTAAAACGTTATGGAATACATTCTTTTGACAAAGTAATACAATTATTTTCTAGATATTAGCAGCCTTTTTTTAATTTTGCATCATTCCATCTTCATAGGTCCCAGGCTTGAATGTGGAACGTTTTGAGTTTTAATGGTGAGCAAGATTTAAACTCATAACAATTTAATGATCTGTAGTCGGTTAACAACCAGATAGATGTAAGGCTTAAAAAAGTCTACGAATTGTTGTTGGACAACATTTTTGTGAAGAAAACAAACTGAAGACAAAACTATTAGACAATTGTAGAAATAAATTTATAACAATATATTTCACAAGTACAAAGCCTCAGTAAATACGTACAATAATCAGTACAAACCATATAAAACAATAACAAATATACAAAAATACACAATATCACAACATGAAAAAGTTACAAAATGTTATATCACATCGAGACAATTATCATAAGTCTATATCACAGAGGTCTGGCAGATGACTAGAGGACACCGTAGGGGGGTAAAGGGGGAATCATCTCGGCTTAAGCAGTAAATACGCCCCTGGACGGCTGGTGGGGGGTGCGAACCCATTTTTGAGCGTCGCTTGAATTTTATCTGCAACATGAAATTACCATTTATTTTCTCAATTACCGTAGTAGTTTTCATCATAGGAGCAAAAGTGGTCCTTGGTTTGGTTCCCAATTGTGTTTAACAATGACCAAGGCGCTGCCGAGCTTGGAATTATGATTATGTACCAAAAAGACACTTTCGCTCCATGTGATGAACAACTATAACCTTATTCTAATCGTTACAAAATTAGACCACATAATTTCAGGCTATACAAAGTCGTCATCAATAAAATTTCTGTTGTTTACAAACATAGCTTTTAATATCAAGTGATTAGCAGCGTTTTCATAATGCACTCATAATATTTTGAGCTCAGCATGCTGAAAAATTTACCACATTATGTTCTTTTTTCTGCTCCCTATTTGAAGTTACCCGAAAACGATGAATTTGAGTACGGTTTAGAAAACTAAAATCGGCTGCTTTCTGAACAGTTTGGTGAAAAAGAATATTCTATGACACTGAACAACTTTTTACCCATTTGTGGAAATAGTTGTATACTTTTACAACTACAATTCATACATAATCAAGGATAGAGAGATGCCAAAGACCTATCTCAACTTAACGTGAGACTGACGATAGAGACGAGTTCATCATTTCTCCGTGTAATTCTGAATAAGAAACTGATGGAAAAGTTACATTGACTACGTCCACATCAAAATCTCATCTAGTTTTCAAGTTACAAAAAAGTTTTGTGAAATATTCATTAAGAAATTGGGAGAAAAAAATGCTTACTTCGCCCTATGGTAGAATTGCACTCAGATCTATGCTACTTTCTAATTATCTTGCTAAAGAGGTACACTAAACAGGGACTCAAAATAACTTTCTGGAGAAGCCAATTCCTCCTACATCAAAACACGAAGATATTGATGTTCAGCTACAAAACATCAACAATGAAGAGCAGTATAGACTAGCTTATGATTCAATTTACACGTAAACTTAAGGTGTTAAGCATCTTAATAGTTGTATACTTAATACCAAATACTTTATACTTAGTACTTAACACATCCCTGCACATCACCATCCCTGCCCAGTTGCGCATGCCTCCGATCGGAGACATCACCATCCCTGCTCAGGTGCGCATGCCTCCGATCGGAGACATCACCATCCCTGCCCAGGTGCGCATGCCTCCGATCGGAGACATCACCATCCCTGCCCAGGTGCGCATGCCTCCGATCGGAGACATCACCATCCCTGCCCGGGTGCGCATGCCTCCGATCGGAGACATCACCATCCCTGCCCAGGTGCGCATGCCTCCGATCGGAGACATCACCATCCCTGCCCAGGTGCGCATGCCTCCGATCGGAGACATCACCATCCCTGCCCAGGTGCGCATGCCTCCGATCGGAGACATCACCATCCCTGCCCAGGTGCGCATGCCTCCGATCGGAGACATCACCATCCCTGCTCAGGTGCACATGCAGATGGGAGACATTTCCCATGGACAGTGTAATGTGATTACATTTCATCTAGCTATTGAGAAGGAAACGCCGCATATTGTGCCTTAGCGTGCATGTTAGGGTAGTGGGTTTTGGGTTTTTATTTCGGGTTGGTCGAGGTAACCCCAAATATTCATATTTTCCACTGGGCTTTATTTTTGCATTTGTTGACGTTGTTCATCTTCGCGTCTGTCGTAGCATGTTAGACATTTAATGATATGGATTAGAATAGTAATACTGAATGAACTGTAGCATTGTGGCTAGCTTTAAAATTTTGTTTGATCTTTTTTGGTATGTGTCAAACTGTTTTGTTCTAAGTATTCTTAAAATAATTTTTTATTTTCATGCACTCTAATAATATGTATATAATATGTAACTGATTTCACCACAATCTCCATTTAAATACCATTTCAAATAGTTAAATGTTTTCCTCATGGAGTGCATCAGTATCTTCAAATCCCAATGGTTTCAAGACTAGCTCTCTGATTGGCCACTGATATGTATCACATGACCAACTCCTTCCTTCTGTAGAGTAGTGTCACTCTTGGGCAAGTCCTGTTGCTATGAGGACTTAACATATGAGGCAAACGTTTAATATAGCGGGTTGTTATTGTCCAACCTCAATTGATCTTTCACTGGTTATTGACTAGATGATGGCAAGACCTTCAATACTTTAATCAAATAACTCACCATGCTCATGTCTGATGATGATAGCACGACACAAGAGGTCACCGTCGCATAGAGACACTGCCTCTTCTGTATTGCTGACAGTGTATCTACAGCTGACAGGGTCCTCACTGTGTCTACACCAATAGTCAAACTGTCCTGGCAGATCACTGTCTGGGAAATCCTCGTACGTTCCTGGCAAAATAAACATATGATTACAAGATGTAACTAGTTAAACCATTATTGGGTAGATCATGGTGGAGCCAGTTGAAATCTAAGCGCCATACAATACTTTTTAACTACTATTTTAGTCTGTCCAAATCTCTATACACCCAAAATTCAAATGCAATGCTCACTATAACGTCGTGATCCTTGAAGATGGTAAAGAAAAGAAGCTCCTGTTAAGTAAAGATTATGTTAAGTGAATGGATCTTTGTGGTTCAACTGGTCAAAACCTAGTTGAACTATGGTGCCACGGAGATAGTTTAGTGAGTGAAAAAATGTGCTTAAGTAGTAGAGGGAGTTTGGGAAGGTCAAAAACATATGTCAAGGCAGGCAGCGGGCGTCCATCAACTTCAGATGAGATAAACCAAAAGTTGAAAAGAATCTTTCTTGCTGATCCAGTGTGTGACTGCAAGAGATTAAAACTCTGAAATGTAACAGGTCTATGACTGTCATAGACATATTGGCAAGTGCGGGAAATTTTAATGACACTGATCCACAAGCAAATCCCTCAAATTTGTGACTTCTCTTGGCAGAAAATAACTGACTCCGCAGACGGTCAAGTAGTGCAAATAGATTACTTTTTGTGAGCTTCCTTGACCATCTACGCAAATTTTTTTGTCCATGCACTTTTCTCTTATGGCCATCTACCTATGAATTTAAATTCTCCAGTTTAGAGTTGACTTTTTCTTTGTCAGATGCTACAACAATACTGAGAGTTTCGTAGATAGAGTTGGGTGCGAGAACAGTAATGGAGGAAGTAAAGAACACTGCAATGGTGTCAGACTGATCTAGCTTACTCTGTCATGAAGACAACTCATTGAACATCCGATAATTTACCGATAACCCTTGTAACCAACATTTTGCTACTCTGTGACTAAGACAAATTGTTGTTAGTAGACAAATTAATTGGAAATTTAGAGACCCTGTTCAAACGCAGGGAAACTTGTTTGTATCGATTTAACATTAAATTAATAATCACCACCAAAACAAATATATTATTTTATTTAACCCATCCAAAATGCTGCTGCACAATTGCTGCTAAATTTTTCCTGAATTGTTTGGAAATTGACTTACAATCTAAATACAAGAGATTGTTACAAAAGGTTGTCGGATAATTAAATAATGTAAGGCAATTAATAGGTTGTGAAAACAATTGATGCACTACTATACTAGTGATCAGAGAAGGGAGCTGGTCTGGTGGTTAGAATGCAGAACTTCAGTCCCTGGGGTCCCGGGTTCAAATCCCGCTAAATCAGCAATGGATTTTATCCAAGTGATAATGCCGCAACCCCTAGGTTTAACCTTAAGTAATGTGAAAAACGATCTAGGGCTCGTGCCTAGCGTCCTAGGACAAAAATAAATAAATAAAATAAAATAAAAACTATACTAGTGATTAGCATATTCCATACTTCACTGCAAGAGGAAATACCGGAAATATCTATACACATTTAAGGGATTTGGATTGTTTTCCCTCAAGTGTTTGTAATTATTTCATAAAAACACAATGAGACGTACCCCTGTGACCAGTGTATGAGCGGAGCAGCTGCTCCGTGGCAGCCAGTATCCTCTCTGAGCTCCAAGACGTGTCACTGTACGCCTCCAGCAGCTGATGTATCTGTGGCTCCAGCGCAGACGGAGCTCTCAGCGGCAACAGCTGACGTACAAAGTGTTGGCCAGCTCTCCAGATGTTGAGCCTCTCGTTGTGTCCTCTGCACTGGCTGTCTACGCACCTCGTCAACCCTCGATCTAAGAGTCATGATTGTGATATCAAGAACATATTTTTAAAAGTAAAATAAATGTTAGAAAACAAATATTAATTGTCCCTGTATTGTGTATAGCCTTTGAATGTTTGAATACTTGGTCAGCAAAAAAGATAAGGTATAAAATAAAATTTCAGACACTTCTTTGACTAGGCTCATACAACTAGGTTAAAAAAAAAAAAAAATGCAACAGCTGGAGCTGGTCCATATAGATTTGATGTCTACTTCAGTATCCAATACTCAATGGAATAACTGAAATCAAAAAACATAATAAACCTATGCCCTAATTGTTAACCTTTGTGCGGTGTTGAGAAAGTGTTTTTAAGGATACACCCCCACACCCCACACTTATGCGAGAAATTAGAGCAATCTTCTCTCATCCAGGTAAATAGGAGAAAATGGAGATGGATTGGCATATTCTTCGGCAACCACAAGATACAGTAGCGAGACAAGCCCTGGAATGGAATCCACAGGGAAATAGAAGAGGGAGACCAAGAACCTTGTGGCGGACTGTGGAGGAGTTAAAGAGTCAGGGCATGACATGGGCTAGGGCAAAGGAGCTGGCCATCCAAAGGTACCACTGGAGAGTGTTCATCGAGGCCCTATGCTCCCCCTAAGAACGTAAGGAAATAAGTCAAAGTAAGTCAAAAGTCTCTCATCCAGGTATACTATAAGATGTTGACCTGATATTTCACAAGGCAGGAGATACAATCATTCATAATTTGTTAGACATAAAATAAAGTGTAAATGTCAGCTACAGAACTGCAAATGGCACCATTCTGTTCACAGATTATGTAAATGAGCATCAAGGTGACTCTTCACTGTGAACACCCAAACTACAGAGCTATATGCACAAACAGCCCTTGCAAAAACCACCCATTAAATTCTTGTATAGTACAAACTATAACAACTATGTAACTCACCAGTCATGTTAGGCTGGAGATGTCTGCTGCAGTCTAGGTCTGTCTCACAGTAAGGTTCAGAGACGCCCATGTCGTCTACATCGGACAACTTGAGGACACCTCCGGCCAACACAAACTGTTGGCGACGCAGGTCGTTCATGGCGAGAGATCCGAGAGGAGAGTGGGCCAGGTGGTAGAGAAGACTCGCTACTCCGTGGACCAGCTGCGGAAAAAATGAAGGATTTGTTTCACATTTTGTTAGAGATTAGTCATTAATGAGAGAGTAGACTTGTAAAAGAGTGCCATCATTAGGTTATTAAATGAGTGGATCCAACAACTTATGTGGTTTCAAACGTTCAAGTTTAAATAAACATTGAAAAAAGGAATTAGTAAAGGGTTAAAACACAGGTCTTTAAGGTTTCAGTTTCATCTCCATTTTCTCTACGGCAAAATCATTTAGGACTACATTGTCAACTGAAATGTGCCTTTAGCCCATTTTAACAAGCATTTTAACACAATTGAGTTTTTAGATGATATTAAGTGTTTAAATCAATTTAAATAGTCATAGGATGAATGCCGTTTGGATCACATATAAAATATTTTGGATTCTTAATCCATCCCTCAGATCCAGCTAACGGTAGCTGATAGTTTTGCGTCCTATAAAGGGTGTCCGAAAAATAAATAGCAAATTCTAAGAATTTTTCCAAACATAACATAAATAAATTCTTTTTGACTGTATATCATATTTTATACATAAAAAAAACTTGTATGACCTGGCAGTTGTACTGCCTCTACGACTTTGTCAATTTTACCTGTTTATTTACAACATAAGGAAGATTTATTAATTATTTATTATAATGGGTCAAAATAAAAGAAAATCAAGACAAATTTTTTTCCAAAAACGCTTACATTTCTCGTCTCTAGCATTTAACATTAGTTTCTGAATGTAGTCGGAGGGTTACCTAGCAGATATACACCTTACGTTACTAAACTTATTCTTCAAACTGTTTCACAGACACACCTGGAGGCGATGTTCCCAGGATAGCTGCAGAAGATGGACAGTATCCAAAGGTTCTCCCAGTTCTGTAGCAATCACTACCGGCCCCACAGCATCAGGCACACAAGATCCTAGTATCTGTAACATTATACAAATTAACAATAGTTTCTAATTGAAACTTATAGTTAAAAAGGGTATATCTGGACTTTCACGTTTATAAATTGCATACATGCAAAGTTGCTTTATTGTATAAATAGTGTTATGTTATTCTTTGCTTTTTGTTTATGTTGATTACCGTAATTATTATTAAGGATTTTTGTGGAGAGTGTCCAAAGCAGAGACATTTCACCTCGCTTGGAGGTTGTGTCTTTAAAATAAAGTTTAAGACACAAACTCAAAGAGACACATTTTTAGGTTCTCTTCACTAAGCTAAACTATGGAAGTACAGCTTTGTTCAAAGAAGGGTATAAACGCCAAGCTTTTTATCACAAAGAGTAACCAAAGGGCAATTATATACTATAAGAAGCCACAGTAACACAAAAGTGAACTATTATTATTAGAAATTATTCTTATTCGGTATAATAAAAATACCAAACTACTTTGTAAATTAAAATAACTGTTTTCATGATAAGGAAATAAAAATGATCTCAAAACATTTCCAATCACAACATTCAATCAATATAATACTGTTTGTGGCGATAGACATTTAAAGAAAATGAATTATAAACTATCAAATAAGGTAAGTCGTTATGATTACATTTGGCTACTCGACAGAGGCATGAGCAACATATACATATCATGTGAACATATCATGTGGACATAACATGTTGAACATGAGTTGAATGTAAAATGAACATGTAACATGTGTGTTTAATGATATGTAGGTTGCAAGATACATGTCGTATCTGTCTGATTTACATAACACGTATCATCAAATACTCACTCAAACTAGAGAGAAGGTTGATGTGTTGGTGTTGTACATTCGTGAACATGGCAATTGTTTGGTGTTTTAGCACACTCCAACTCTGGGTACACCTAATGTTTTGTCAGACATTGTAAAATTGATGATTTTGAAATTTAGTAGCTTATATGAGTCAAAGTGTTTTTATACATGTTTATATCGTTGTTAGGCATATTATATTTTATGTATATAGGCATATGCATATTATGGAGTTTAATAGCTCGTGTTCAGGAAAAAGTAAACTAAAATAGAATGTAAAATAATTTTAACTGAAAGCAATACTTTGTTATACCGTAAGTAAAAATGACCCCACCGCAGCAAACCTGCAGACTAAGCGAATTTCTATTTGCCTGATTGGATTTACACTAAAAATGGCTCCTTAAAAATATCACATTTATTCCCTACTTAAATAGCATTAGATTAACGAGTACTTAGGTTTGCTGCAACAGGGAGGGTAAAAGGTGTTTTTTTGTAAAGTGTTAATAGTTTAGTGTGAAATGAATGTATTTTACAAATTTGATCAAAATATGCTCATAAACAAGCAAATTACAACAGTTTACAATTTTCTCCATAAAAATAACATGGAAATTTAAAATTGAACGTTTTTTTGAAATTTATCTGTAGCCACTAGGCGCATAATAATGCTTCAATATACTAAATTATTTGTTTTTTTAAGCTCTACAAAATGGTTTGGAAAGAAGTTGTTTTAATTTCTATATTTTTAGGGTCGAAAATGAAAAAAACCCCAATTTTTACCCCATAAAACCCCCCGCATAAACCCCTGTTCCAATAGTTGTATCATGCTGGTTCGCAAACTCGTTTTAATAATTGACATTAACTGAAACGTAGGTTTACAAATTTAATCAAAATCGTATGATTTTTGCTCGAGTTATCGCGCTAAGATATGAATTTGAACGGATGGTGTTTTTGGCCTCTAGGGACCTGAAAACGAAAAAGTAAATCGGTCCCGGATCCAGGTCTTACCATGAGTACGACGGTAATAGCTTACTCCCTATATGGAAAATTCGCTACAATGTGAATCAGCAAAGATACAACCAATATCGAACCAAACTTCTTAAGCAGTCTAAAAATCTACCTCAACGTCAACGAAAATTGTGCTGACTAGATTCGTCGCATTGTCAAAGCTTGCGACACGTCAAAACGTGAAAACAAAATAATTGTATATAACACGACACAATGACTTAAGACACGAACACACTAAGGAAGCCTATTTTACCGTTAAGGAGTCAAAGGGCTATACAATTGTTATAACAAAGATTGTTGTAGTGACAAGATTGTTGTTCTGGGAAATGATCGTAATCATAGTTGGAGCAGTAACACTATTCCTTCATAAGGTAAATTCGTAATTTTTTGGGAGTAATAGATTCATAGACACGTAGGTGTATTTCCAAAAACTTTGTACATGGTCCTATAAAATTATTCTTACCCGATCAATCAGTGTTGGTGTAAAAAGTTGATAAAACCCCGAAAAAGCATGAGTAATTATTAACGGTAAAGTGGTAAAGATAATAAACAAACACTTATTTAACAATTCAATAAATAACAAATATGCTTCTACCCTTCTCAACTTAAGAATCCCCCGACCATTGTACATAACGATTGCATGATTAAGCAACATTCAAAGCGTAAGCTTCGATTGTAGTCATGAATTATTGCCCCCAGGGGTAGTGGCAGGAGGGGGGGGGGGGGGGGGTGCGTGTATTTGACAATGACAACATGACGTCATCAGGGACCAAACACAAACACCGACAAAGTGACGTCATTGCTTCATTGTTGTAAAGAGATGTCACCGTATCGTTTGGAGTTGGTTTACAATAAAGAAATTGTAGATGAAACATCTTATGAATAATGAAATTAAGGAGGACCCATGCTGATCCGTTGAAATAAATATCATAACCGAGAAATAGTCAAATTTGATTAGTATCTTGAACTTAACTGATTCAAACTATCATAGCTCAAATTTAAGCCTATAATTTACTGATTATTTTGAGTCTAAAACATATCAAAAACATTAACAATACTGGAGCTATTGATTTTTAATCATAGAAAAGTCATATAAAAAATCATTTTTATGTTATTGTTGGTTGTTCACCTTGCGTTTGCTTGAAACTCGTCCGATTTAAATAACTAATAGATCAAATGAAAGCCGGTATTTCACTTAAGTTGCTTAGACCAAAATATTTAGTATTATAGGTGAAATACATCTTGAATTGAAGTAAGAATTCGAAAATATGTCAAATTTATATTTTTTTGGTCGAGTAATACAGTAGGTAAATATATGCCGATGCTTGATGTGAAATCTAAGCGTGCATACCTTCAACTTGAGACCTCAAACATGAAACTCGGTCGGGTAGAAGAGCCAAGTAAACTTGGAAAAGAAAACCCAAATTCTTTTAATAACCTATATAGGATTAAAAACTCGAAAAAGTAAGGATGCTAAATTTGTGTACATTCTATTATTTTGTACCTTTATTTCTACAATTTATCAAAATACAGAGTTAATGGGTTCAATATTTCAAAAGGCAGAATTAAAAATATCATTGTTGACAAGTATAAAAGAACCTACAGTTTTAAGGCCTATATTATAAGTGTAAATAATTGATTGTATATTTTAATCTAAGAATTTTTAAACTTGAAAATCAAAACTTTTACCTGAAGATGTTAAACAGTGATGCGGGAAATGAAACCTTTACGTCTCATCAACACGAAAAGCAGATAAAATATTTACCAAGTTTCCACGATGTGCGAGAAGGCAAGTCCGTTTCTCAAATCCATCCAAGTTTTATGTTAACTGCAAACAGCGCAAACAGTTTGTTTACCTCGTGTTTATAGCCTATAAACAACGCGCAGTTTTTCTACGTCATTTGTTACTCATAATTTCAAACTATTACGTTTTGAAAATATTTGGTATTCCGGATTCACACGAGTTTGGCTATAATAAAACACAAGTATTTTTATTTTTCGCCAAAATTCTTTTGAAAACTTTTTGTTTTTACTTGGCCTTTGAAAAACTTTTCAGCCCACTCATAATTTGAATAGTTTTAATATTATCTAAGTCATCGCACAAGCAAACAAATACATATAAGGGACGTAAGTTATAGGAGACGTTTCTGGTCATTTTTATTTAATGAAGAAAAACACGTCGTCCATATTCCATTCACGTTATTATTATCATATTGTGGAAGATTTATAAAAACCCACTGTTTAAGAACAAAAAAGTGTGTTTTAACTACTGGTCTATAACAACTTAGGTTATAATCGGAATAAATTCATCATTGTTAATAAATATATGCATTTTATTACACTCATACTAGCAGTTTAGTACGTTCAAATACCATACCGTATTATATTTTAAATTAAAAATAAAATTGAACAAAATTATTTACTCGATTTTTAAAAATTGTCTACAGATTACGTACTGATTTTAAGCAAGGATATTATTTTTACTTTCCGTCTCATGATAAAAATGTAATGGTACAATACTAAAGTTCTCATGAACTATATACAAAGAGAGGGAAATAAAAATGAAAAACATTTCTGGCCAGATAAACCAAAAATGGTATTAACTGAAGTAGTATTGTGATGACAATAGGATGCTTTATATGTAATACACATGTTTACCTATAAAACTCTAATAAAGTTAAAGCACTTAATAATGTTAATAAAGAGAATAAAGAGATTGTAATTGCAATATTCTACTCAAATTAGCATAATGAAATAGACAATGATCATTGAGATAATTAAGTTCAACAATTAATTATGCAGATCTATTGATTTGCATACTTAATAGATTAAGTGCTTTTTATATTAGCTAATCCCATTTTAGGCGTTCGTTACAGGTAAAAGGGGAAACATTATCAAGTGCATAAGAGAGTGGTATTTTGTTGTTAGTATAAGAAATTTTTAAACGCAAGGCGTCAAAATATTATTGGCTAGATAGCATATCATTTACCGTCATTAAGTGCTACTACCATAGTTGTAGTTTTACTGTTGAAATATGTCTTGTTTTGTTCGGAATTACGGCAGGATAAAAATATACGAAACTACTGCAAGATTACATACGATTGGGGTCAACATGTTTGATTTTTGTTCTTCAGTCATTATTCAAACGTCCATTAAAATTTAGACAGGAATACGACTTGGAAATATAGTACTAATACTAAACATGATCCTCTTAAAATAGAATGTAACTAATGTAAGAGTCAACAACAGTTAGCGACGTACGTTTCTTTATTACCAATGACATTAATTTGTGCATTATTAAAGTACTCTTAAGTTTAAGTGTGGATTAAAATTAAATCTCCAATAAAATCAAATCGTTTCCAAGCTTAATTCTAAGCTTGGTTCTAAGTTTCGTTCAGTTGAATTTGTATTTGTTATGTAAGTTCCAAAACGACAACTGGTTTTGTTTATTTTGCTGGACACCCATTTCTATTAACATAGATTAAACAAATAAATATAATTCACTCAAGTTTAGTTGACTACTAACTTATATCCTTTTAATTTTAAGATGGTGTCAATTTATGGTTTAGTTAGTTGATTTTAGTTTATACTCACATCGTATAATTTTTAACCATCGATTCTGTATAGACGATGTTTACAAAGCAAACCCGCACTTACCTTGATAACGTTTTGATGCTGCAACTCCGTCAGCAGGATAAGTTCCTTGAGCAGTTTCGCAGCAGTTCTACGGTAGCAAGTAGCCAGAGAAGCCTGTGGTTTACTCTCTTGACATTGGCGGAAGTCGTGCCCGTTGAGGTTCACCGTCTTGACCGCTACAGGACTTCCACGGAACACTCCCTTGTACACAGCCTTGGTCCATCCGGCGGCGACAAACTCCAGGTCGCGTACCTCGTGGAGGGTTGAGCAGTTGATGGGACCGGAGGACGGCACGGGCCACCGGAGTCCTCTGGGGGCGGAGGAAAACCCGCTGAGGTTCAGGAACAGCGAGTTCTCCCAGGAGTTGTCAGGGTCGCTCCGGTAGCTAGGGGGAGGAACTCTGTGGTCCAAGGAGGCACGGAACATGGGAGTGAAGAGAACTATGCTGGCCACTAGGAAGAGGAAGAAGTAGACTGAGATGAAGAGACAAACTCCTGAAGAACGGAGTTGAAGAAAGGGAGAAGTGAAGTACATGTTGAAGACACTTTGAAAATATATGCAAAAATAGTTCACCTAACATAAAGATTTCTGTCACAATTATTTTTAAAGTTCGTAAATCATAATAAGAAACGTATTTTGAGATTTATAAAACACATAACCGAAAATTTATTAAAATACTTAATAATTAGATGATTCAACTCACTGTTACAGCATAACCTCAAAGTCACGTATTGATCTGTAGCCACCTCACCGCCTTGTTCAGCTGTTCGCTTGTCGACCGATTACGCGCGTTATCACACTTAACCCCGCGTTTTATCACCATCACACTGCCTACAAACACTACTCGATCAGCTGATTTTTGAGTGTTGGTTGTCCACAGCTGTGTGTATGATCCGGTCGGTGCTCGAGGTCCGACTGTCGAGAGTCGAGAATCGAATGTTTTGTTTACCCGACTCTTCCCACTTCCCACCCAACGACCTGTCCCTCGCAGCGCGCAGCCGCTAACAAGATGTGAACAGACGGGTGGCTCGTTGTGTCCCACCTTACCTGAAACACGACGAGAGCTAAGGTGAATCGCTGTGTCCCACCTTACCGAAATATATGCACAAGATATGTTCTGGAAGATGACTTGTTGTTTTCCACCTTTCCTAAATATATGAACAAGATTTGATCTGCAACATGACTCCTTGTATTCCACATTACCTAAATGTAACCACAATGATGACTACACTGAATATCGTATACACATCTCAAAATAAACATATACCACTTTAGCTATAATATTAAAAACAAAAACAACAATTAACTCATCTAATCCTTTTCTCGTGTTAAACAATATTTATTAATATACCTTTAATGTTAAGAAAAAACATGAGACATAATCAATGTCTGATAGAAACCATTGCTAATATTATATCAAACCTCTGGGGCAGTTTAAAATAAATAAGCCCGTTCCAATAAACGAAAAAGAAACTACAACTCCAATTTCAACTGCAGATCCTGTTTAAAAATCTCAAAGGCCTGGATGGTTGTTGCAAGACAACTGACATCATATTTTAACCGTTGAATGCTTCACGGATTCTTTCCTTTTAGTAAAGGTCCTATTCAGAAGGCCCTACCTAACACCCTCTTGGACGTTTCGGGTGATGAATGACTCTACAGATTGTCCTAAACACTGAAGAGTCCTTGACAACCCCTCGTAACTCCTAGAAGTGCATTCTTCGACACTAGCCTCGGACCACCTCGTGTGGGATTCATGGAACCTTTAGCACGTTCAAGAGAGAAACTATTAGTATCTTCGTCACAATTGATCTTCATAGAATCGTTTGTTATTCCATCAATTTATTTTTTTAATTTCTTTAAAAGGAGTAATGTATTAATTTAAGAAAACAGCAACTTCACTTTGAGAAATCTTCATACTGCACATTAAAAGTTCTCTACATGGCATCTTATGACTTTATGAACTTGGAATACGATTTTGGGAAAGCTGTGAACGATGAAAACTAAAAAAGGATATGTAGACTACAAAACGTGACATCATTAGAAATTCCAAATGTTTGATTCCAAATGATTGATTTTGTTCGTGTGGAAACCAAATACTTGCCCTTTGACCACAGTTTACTGTTGACTCTAGCATCTGCCAATGAACGGGTATGAAACAAGAGCGAAGGATTGTTCCCTAGCTGTTTTAACAGTACAAACATAAACAAGTAGATTGATCTATGGTCCAGATAAGTTTGAGAGACTCTCTTTCCCGGTAGGTTTTAACTCCTTAAAATATCTTTTAAAATATTCAGTAAACAAGGAACTTGTCTTCGCCTATGTCAAGATTGAAGCGTAAGTAAACCGAATGAATCTTAGACATTCACCATCAGTTTCCAAACACAAAATTAGATATAACAATAGTTTAAATTGTACCACGTAATTTGTAGTATGTATTATGTGTTGTACACTATGGTGTTCATGTACAAATTAAAAACTGTCAACATAAAATAGTTTAGCAATTGATTTTTGTATGCTTCTATTATTAACAACTGTATTGTTAAAAACCGTTCTGTTAATGATATAGGTATACAGCAGTTGTAACTTTGACCAAATAGTTTGGCCAGGTAGTTACAGTAGACGGTTCCCGAGAGGATGGTAACTGTATCGCAAAGACGATCTAGTACAGTGCAGCTTCTAACAGCTGATCGTGCTTCTAATCAGGTAGATGCCATAAATTTAAAGAATTTAAGTAAATAAAAGGCAATAAAGCAATTTAAGTTTCGATACGATATCAGAATGTTTTCTAAAGTACCAAGTCACCAAAACGAACAAATTCATAAATTTAAAAACTGTGTCATTATTTCAGCATAGTGGTTTACGACAATTGTAATTTAAAAAAAATTTAATCATTCTGAAATCGTGGTTTGTGTTTTTTTTTTCTGAAACGATCAATTTGTATTTTCTTGTCCGAGGTTGTGTGTTAAATTTCAAGTCCCATTTGACAAGAGTTCCTTATTTAAGACCCCTATACACGTCTTAGATGTATTTGTTACCAAATTTTAAAAATATAAATTACAATACATTGAACAGATAGATTCTTAAAATGTAGATTACTTCATCATTTATTTGGTCTATTTAAATTAAATTCCAATTTGCAAGGTAAAATATTACTATTTTGCAGTATTGTGATTTTGCTTTATACAACTCCACGCAGCCATAAATCCCATTAAAATAAAATATAACCGGTACAATCAATATTACACATTACCCAACCATTCTTCAGCAAATTTCAACAACAAAACATGGCTACTAAAACACCCATTACAGATTTTCATCTATTCTCTTTTCAAAACACGCCGAGAGCTTTCTGTTTGGGTGTGGAAGATCAAAAAGTGGGAAAATCCTTTCATCCTTGACAAGAGGTTGTCAAGATTAATTGTCAAGATTAAGGATCAACCTGGAGAACGATTAAACCATCAAAGCCCATTCATTGGAGTCGCGGGACAAAAAATGTCCCTCAGGCTTCCAAAGCCCCTCGTGTTTGTTCAGGCTCGGTCATGCCTCATTATGCCTGTCAAAATAACGCGTAGCGGGGCCCTCACTATTGAAAAAGAGTTCTTAAGTTCTTTGTAAACGTTTGATGTCCCTATCATTTTGTGGTGCGTGTTATGGCGAGGAAACTAAATTCGCTGAAACCCACTATTTATTCAGATTCATTATATTACACTTATTTTTACATATAACCGTTTCAAATATTTTAAACTAGCTGTGTGCCCGTTCTACGCACGGGGATCTTATAGTAGTCAGTTGAAACCTTCTTATATTAAGATTAAGAACAGCAGTTAGTTTGCATATTTGCAGATATGCTGGCAAAACTATTATATATAAACCTTTGCAAATACAGTATCTGACAGTTCAAGCCAAAATAAATGCTTCGCAATTAAATGTCACCCGGATCGTTATGGTCCATATGTCCAATGATTAAACTAAAAAATGTTTTATAGATCCATGAAGCGTAGCCCTAAAGTAGGCCTATAATTGAAAGTTACTTTCCACATCGGTTAACTTAAACGTATTTAAAGTACTACCTCAACCTCACCATTTAACACTTTATTCCGGTTGACATTTTCAGTATCAAAGGTGCTCTTGTCCATTCCGTGAAACACTGAGAAATAAGGACATTAATGCGTTACCAACAGACATACACACAACAATCCAAAAAAGGCCACGAACTATTGATACATAAACAATATAAAGGCGTAAACAATTCATGATGGTTTGCCCAACAAATGTTTTACTCAAATAGGTTATCATTTTCTTAGCATACCGGGTAAGCTAAGATTTGGAATCCAGACAGAAAAAGCAAAACTTATACAGAGTTAAGACATCACTTAAATTGAATACGGACGGCTCTAATAAATAAGGTGCAACACCAACGATAACTAATTTGTAAACTACAGTGATGTGTTGGTACCTACGTAAAAATGATTCTAGCAGCTACCAACGGTTCTAAGGAAAAGAACCAGTACCTACGTAAGAACCTACCTAAGAACTATAGTACATCCGACCAATTAAATACATTAATATCTAGTCCCGAGGTTATTGATCTCTTGCTTTTGGATTTTCTCGTAAAAAGTTATAGCGTAAACTTATCGGTGTCAGTTTGAAAAAAAAACAACCTTACCCAAACAACTTTTTGTTATTTAATAGATTACGCATTCTCTAAACAATGATTAGTATATCTATTAACATTAGAAGGAAATGTGACGAAAAAACACAATGTTGGGGTTTTGGTCATTTGTAATTATATTTCTTAAGTAGGTAGGCCATGTATTCTATGGAAAAGTACCGGTATCAAGGATCGTCGTCAAAAAGGTTGTTATGAATAAATATATGTAGGCTTACGTACCCAAGATATGAGCTATGGGCCTATTGGTTGTATGGTCCAGCGATTGCATCACACGGTGAGTAGAAACAGAAAGTGACACATTGGAAAAGCGAGTTTAGCACTTCCTCTGTTAAACCTCTGTTACAATCACCCACTGCAGTTGTGATTTTTTACTTAACACTTTACACAACCGCCATTGAAGCGCCGTCAATGAGTGGAAACCTTTTTTGTAAGCTATTGGCGACGATCATTTCAGTGTCCAGCCCTATACAACACTGATTCAAGGTCTTCTTTCTGGTTGTCAAAACTCAAGAAACATTTTATACTCAAAGAATTTCTGGTTCCGATTTGGACGATGTCTATTTATTTAATTTCATTTACGGTTACACTATTAGACTATATTATTGCACTTGCGATTAATTACATCCGTTATGTAAGAAAAACGTTTTTAATCTCACTTGGTTGGGATTTGCTTTCAAAACGTGATTCGAAATGGTTGCGGTATATGTAAACAACATTTGTAAACATATCATTGACAGCTAGAAAAAATAATCTTGATCCGAACAGCTGTTCGTTATTTCATAGACGATTATGTGATAAAAATTGAACAAAAATTTGAAAAAAATCGCAAAAACTGCATTTTTGAACGTCCGTAATTTTATTTACAAAGTAGTGAGGCTATATTTAAATCACTAAAGACACTCTCGCCAATCCAGTGAATACATTAAAATGACTTGGATCTTGATAGGTACTCTGGTTTTCACGGAGAAGATTGCGTAAAATGCCATCTTGAGTGTTACAGACAAAGGGAAAGACAGACAGACAGACAGACAGACAGAAATAGAGATAAGACTCGTTTCTGCTTCTTTAATGTATAAAACGTAAAAATAACCTAAAAGTATATAATTCTGAGCAAAGTACAGACAAAACTCTAATTTTATTTATATAGATAAAGTTCATTTAACCCAGTTGATCCAGTAATATCCAGTTGATTGCCGGTATGTTCAGTTCAAACAGCTCAAATTCATTTTATCACATCCCATTCCCATTCCACATCATATTTCA